GTAGCCAAATCTATTTTGGATGAAGTCAGAGGAGTGTGTAGTTTTCCAGGTTTTGTTTACTGTCACATTTTAGAATTGGTTTCTTGTGGAGTTTTCCTCCCTTTTTTTCTCCTCACTGTAATGTACTTTGCGGTTTGAAGGTTGTTTCAGGCCCTTTACTTTCCTTTCTGGTATTGCTTTATTTGTTTCTGGCTTTCACTTGGCCCAGTGGAAAGTTATGTTTTGCAATCAGCAACATCTCCTGTGCCTCCATTTTCTGTCCTGTTATGCCAAGGATTGCACAGTCCCACACTTCAACTCTCTTCACTCCAAATATTGCCATTCCCATCTTTCGTTTCTGAGCTTCCAAGTCATACAGGGACCTTCTCCCTTATCCCATTGCAGGCACTTTGAGGAGTCTTTGGACCTTGCTGCAAGCCTCTGGAAATCAGAGTGGTGGAGATTAAACATGTCTCTTCTGCTTGGTGAGCCCTTCAAAAAAAACTCTCCTGCTGTTTCCCTGGCAGGGAGTTCCTCCAGTGTTTTCCCCAGACCTTCTAAACACAACTGTGTTTAGTTTCACCGCTCAGGTCTTATCTCCTCTTGAGTCTTTTTTATACCTTCATTGTCTGCAGGCTGAGCAGACTCTCTGGGTTCTCATGGCTTTAGATAACTTCAGGAATTTGTTGCACAAACTGTTGGTTTTGGCCTGGTTTGCCGTGTCTGGCCTTTTCTTATTTTCTAAGGATATCGTCATGCCTGTCATTGACGCCTTTGCTCTGCTTTCTAGCCCTGCTGGGTTTCTCTCTGCTCTGCCTCACCCTCTCTGTGGTGCTCCACGTGTCTTTCCAGACACCCTGCTCGAGGTTTGCCTTTCCAGCCTTAACCTTTGGCTGCCTCTTCAGTTCTTCCCAACAATCTTCCTCGCTTTCCACAGTTTCCTCTTTTCCCTGCTAAGCAGAACTCCGGTAGATTATTTTTGGACCTCAGTGCTTGTTAAAAGAGGCTGAACTTCATCCTTTGTGGTCATGGTACAAAGTTGTTTGTCAGGGATAACTCTTTGAGGGATACTTTGTGTTTTGCTCTGGCTGGGTTTGAGAGTTGAGTCTTTTCTTGTGAAAGCCCCCATCACTCGCTCTGAAAAGCATCTGATGGTGTCTAAGGAAACATAGCCCATGTCCTGGTCTACCTGAGGATTCCTGAAGCCTCCCATTACTGATGCATTTTTGTTATCTGAATGACTCTGATATCCTCATGCATCCAGTTACCTGGGCAAATGATGTTTGAGTCCTAATTCTATATTTTTCCTTTCAGTCCTCTAGAATAACAAGCCAGGGAATTTCTGTCTTAATTTTGCCTTTTCTTTAAAGTGGAACCCTCAGTCTCCCACAACCCAGTCTGTTCTCTTATTTTCTTAGAATGATAACAATAAAGGTAATTTAATGTGCTATTCATTATCTTCACTCTGCCAAATTTAATATACACCTGGTATATTAGTCTTGCTTACCTTCATGATACCCGAGTTCCTGGAAACAAAAAAAACAAATACCCCAAAAGTTACATGCAGTAAATGGACATCAAGATACATCCTCAATGAGAAATAAACACCTCTGTGAAATAGTTCACTGTGAGGTGTTGGGAATGATCACCATTTTTTAACTGTGAATATTTGCTGTGTCTGAAGAGTCAGGGAAATGAAGTTAAAGTCATAACTTCTGCATAACCACTGCATTTCATCATACTGAGAGAGAGAGATGTGGCCACAGGGCTCTGCCTTTGGGGTGTTCACAGGCAGTTGCTTTTCTGAAGTCACTGCATTTTTCCTAAACAAAATAAATTGATTATTTTCACCAGTTTGACCGGTGCTGTAGGGAAACTGTGATAGACCAGAGCTGCAGCATTGGAAAATGAGTTCTGGAGCATCCATGCTGGATCAGATCAATATCTCCATTAGCCATCCAGCACTGACATCTGTTGGGAATTAAGCTTTGTTTCCTGAAGGTCATTTTTGAATGGCTGGTTTGCCAGTATGGAAGTGCTGAATGTCATCTAATTAAACTGAGAGCTGCAGCATTTCGTACACATTAAGTAAAATACAAAGTTTAGAAACCAGGTCAAACCACAGAAACCTTCGTAACAAAGTTTAGTGGTTGTTTTATTTTGAAAGAGAATCTTTTCACTGTCATGTTTTGTTTCCCTTGCATCTGCTTTGTTTTATTTAAGGAGGTACCAGCAGCAAGGAACACACTGTAATAACAAAGATCTGTTGTTGTCTGCCTGGAGCCAATTCCCAGCTCTCCTGCACTGCCCCTCTCTGTGGCACAGCAAACACAGAAATAGAAGAGTGATGCTCACCCTGGTGCTGATTATCTCTGTGATTGGGGACTGGGACTTGTTTGAAACATCTCTAGGGAGAGAAACTGTCTAATCATAGCAGTTATTTAATTGTGCCACTGTCATATTTCTTCTGATCTAGAGATTATGCATTCAGGATGCTTCAAGGGTGATACCAGTGGTGCTTTTTTTGCCTTAAAACTGACGGAGAATACAGAAAATAACCACAAAAGCAACTCTGTGGGATGCAGGATTATAAATTGGTTCTTGTGACAGTGCCACATTTAGACACTCCAGGCGTTTTGTGGGGTGAATGACAGGTAGGAATTCTTTGTACTGGGCTGTGGCCTGAACAGTGGAAGCTGAAGAAGTTGGTGTTAACTTACTGACAGTGCTGGTACATGGAGAGGGGAGTGTTTAGTACCACCAGCTCCTTTTGTTTCCCCCTTCTTTGTTTCCACAGCTCTTGCTCTGGTTGTTTTGCACAGAGGGCTGCAAACCGATGCACTCTGACCTCTCTTTTCAGATTTTAGTTCGCAAACTTCCTGATGGCAGAGAGCTCTGGGGCAGGATTGTTGAAACAGAAGCTTATCTGGGTGGGGAAGATGAAGCTTCCCACTCGAGAGGTGGGAAGCAGACTCAGCGGAACGCGGCCATGTTCATGAAACCAGGAACCCTGTACGTGTACCAGATCTACGGCATCTACTTCTGTGTGAATGTTTCCAGCCAAGGTGAGCTGGGGATGAGGGAGATTCGGTGCCTAAAGGACAGGGCTGGCATTTCAGGCTGCACCTGTGGTGCTGCAGTGACCCTGAGGGCTCCGTGAAGTCAGTGATTTGCTCTCAGGGTCTCTCCTTGAGATCTGGGAGCAGGGTGGACCTGTGGACAGGCAGCGTGGGCAGCAGGGCCCATCTCCAGTTTGGTCCCACAGCTGTGAGCTGTGGGAGCTGGTCAGGCACACAAATAAAGACTAAGAACTGGAGGAGAATCTGGAGAGGATGGAGCTTTCAGCTTTGGTGACCTGGGGAGCTGCCTCATTCCTGTGATTCAGTGAACTTTGTTCCTCAAAAGTGCTGATGTAGAGGAAATATGTGGAGTCACTAATGACAGCCTAAATCTCGGTGTCTGTACTCATGACAAGAAACTCCTCTGTCTCCTGCCTTTATCTTCAGAGGCTTTAAATGCTGGGCAAAACAAAACAGCCTGAGATGTCCTAAGCTTAAGCAAGGAGTCAGTGTAGGAGCATTTTAGCTGCTTTGCTGTCTCTTAAAATCAAAAAAACCCCACCCAAATCCAAATACTCAGACTATTACAGAATCTTCAATCTTCTTTTATTATTGGCAAGATATAATAATCAAGCTCTAATCAAATTATTCTGGAAGTTACTGAGACTGTCCTTCCACAGCTCCTCTTAACATGCAAGTGTTACTCCTGTAAGAGTGACAGTATTTGCCTTGCAATAAAGCTGCTGCTTAATGAGCCACCTTGAAATGGCAACAGGTATTTCCTGGGTAAAAACCCACTGTTTTAGAAAAAAAAAATCTCAACCCCAATTTACTTTCTTTTTTTACCATTTTGAAGATCGAGGTTAAAGAACTCCGCAGCTTATATATTCCTAAGTGGAAAGGAAGTGTAAGAGTGACCATTAATCCTCAGGTTTTGGCCTTTGGACAGGAGCCAAGCAGGAAACCAGTGCTGGGTTGTACTGTGGGGGAAGAGCCTGACTCTCCAAGTGAAGGTCTGGAGTCTGGGGGGTGAACACATGTGAATTTCATTACACAAGCTCTGCCAAATCTGTTCAGATAATGAAAGCAGATGGTTCATTAGCCGGTGTTTGAAATATTAGGAATAATAATTTTTATTTTAAAAAATGCATTTAGCCTTTGAATTCTAGAAATATTTCTTTCAGATAGATAGATACTTGGGGAAATTTTTCCTTATCTGCCTGTGTTTAGTTTTGTAGCAAATCAGTTAAAGAGCTCACTGTGGTGATGGAATTGCTTGGATTCCATGTCAGCCTGTCACACGTGCAGCTCCTCTGACAGCAGGCACAGCTGGCACTGCCAGCTCTGCCAGGGCACTGCAGTAAACACTGTGGCTGTGCACCTGAGAAAGGATTGAGGAAGTTGTCTTTGTGGTGGCACCTGGGTAGAAGGGAAAAATACTGCATTCTCTGGATATGGGACAGGTCTTGGAAACTGGTTTGGATCTGGCTGTGCAGAAAACACAAGGAAACATTGGCAACCCCTGTTTGTTGTGGCATAGCTTGGTCATCCTTCCCAGCACAGAGCACACTCTGAAGGCAAACAGCTGGGAGAGCCATGCTGCTCCTCCTTGCTTCCCTCTGCTGAGCTTGTCTAGAGTGGAGAGTTTGGCTCATGAGACTCTGGCTCTTCAGAGATCACTTGTTTGGATACACGGCCTTGTGGCATTGTCTGCTTTAACTCCAGGTGGAATAAACCTTCCTCTGCTTGCTGTATTGGTTTATGCTCCAGTTCAGGCTCAGCAAATGAGGGATAGGAAAAGTGTGTCCCCAGCAGCACTGTGTTCATAAAACCGTGAGTTGAGGGGTGGGTTCCAATATTTTTTGTCACTGAGGAAGGGGAAATCTTAGTGCATGTCACTACATAAAGCTGCATCACGTGGGATTTCACTGTGAGAGTTCTTCCCATCACTGAGTAAAATACTGCAACTGCCTGAAGCCATGGCAGGCTTCACTGCCATTGGAGAAATCGTGGATGATAGAGAAGAAGAGCTTATAGAAAAAATATAACCAATGTCTTTTAGTGTGCATGAATCCTGCAGTATATCCTGAGCAGCACAATAATCTTAGTAGAAAGAGCTTTCCCTAGAGTTAAGAGGGATGTTGGGCTTCCCTTGCCTCGGGAAGAGGATAAATGCCAGCCATCCTTCTCCTTGACTTAGCTGTGATTTGTTTCTCTGGAATGTGCCAAGGTGTGCGTTTTGCTGCCAGATCTGAAAGAGCAGCTCAGAAAACAGAGAGCCCAGTGCTGCTCAGCCCAGGGTCACACTGCATGGGCTTCTCCCTGCCTCTCAGATCCTAGACTAGGACTTTGAAGGAAGTGTTCTGGGAGCAGTGACTCACACGGGTGAAGAGAGGAGAAAATTGCCTTCTCTCCAGTGGCCAAGAGCTGTTTCCAAGTGGGAGCTGGAGCCGTTTCAGGGAAGGAGCAGGAAGCTGCACAGCGGGGGAGTGGGACTTCACTATCATTTTATGATTGCTGGCTGCTCGGGGAGAGCCTTGGCCTCCGGGCTGTTGTTAAATCTGAATGCTGCTCGTTATATGGAGTGACTCTTGGGCATCTCCCACTGGCCCTGCTGCCCCCGGTGTGTCAGGGGCACATCCGTGTGGGGCAGAGGGCAAAGCCAGGTGAGCCCTGAGAGCGAAGTGCTGCAGGCTGGCAGGGGGAGGAGGGCAGGCTGGATGAAGCACTCTGCCAGGCAGGAGTTGAATTGCAAGGCTTCAGCTACTCTTTGAGAGTTAAAATAAAATTTCTGATGTGGAAGTATGTTCAGGAGGACCCAGGGGCGTGGGGGCAAAGAAGGCAGTGGGTCATTGTGGCATCCCTGCACTCCTCCCTGCTGTCTCCACCTCTTCCCAAAGCTCTTGGGGAGCTGCTGTCACACTCGGGGGCTGCTGACTGGGCAATGCATTGTCTGCTGCACACAGCTGGGAAGAGCATGGAAACTTCCAGGTGGGAATGCAGAAAGAGCAGCCAGAGACAGAAATGCCTGGTACCCCCTCCCAGGGCTCTGGGATGCTCTGGGAGCACCTGCAGTTTCTCCAAGTGCTCGTCTCTCTTCACTTGAACTCCCAAGGACTCGGTTGGGTTCAAGTGTGACCACAGTTTCCACTTGCATTTGTGATGGATGAAAGCAAGCGGTGTAATTAGTGATTGTTCAGAATCCCAGAGTTGTTCCTGGCAAGTGAGGCAGCAACATGATGTGAAGGATGTTTCTTTGTGCATGGATAAAAAGCAGAATTAGGACATGGAACATGTTCTTAAAAATCTAAAATGACCTTTGAGCTCTAAATCACTGTAGTCCAGGGAAGAAGCTTTTGGCTGCCAGATTAGCATCAATCCCCCTCCTTGGAGAAGGGAGTGCCTGGGAACAGATTGCTGACAGCTGTTGGAAATCAGGCTGTTGGCTTCACCAAGCTGCACTGGGGGCAGCAGGGGCTCAGAGAACGTTCAGGGCAACAGGCAGCACCTCCAGAGCCAGAACCCAGGTCCTCCCTGGGAGCCCAGGAGGGTAATTTAGTGTGGGATTTGTTCAAAGTATGAGAGGGATTCTATTTTTGGAAATCACAGGTCCTTAGGGATCTGTCAGTGCCCACAAGAGAAGCCTGTGCCTGGCGTGAGCAGGGCTCCAGATGTTCCAGGCTGGGGAGCGAGCGGGGATTCTTTTGGAGCAGGAATGCCGTGGGTGGCCCCGGCACGAGGGGAGCTGTGTGGGGCAGCTCAGGCTGTGCCAGGCACTCTCCTCGCCCACTCAGGGTCGGGAGAAGACCTCCCTGCTGTCCACTGGAAAATATTAAGGAAGTGTATATGCCCTTCTGGAGGATCCTTGTCCCTGGGAATGTCTGCTCAGAGCTGCATCTTTGCTTCATCTTTGCCACCAAAAGCAGGGAAGGCAGCTGGGAGGGCAGGAGTTTCCCTGCGTCACCTGGCAGGGTGGCAGATCACATCTGAGAAGACACTGACAGTTTTCCCCAGTTCTTGTCACAGAAAGGTCTCCTCTGCTGCAGTGCTGGTGCCAGGGCTGTGCAGCCACAGCCACACCGTGGAGCCTGTCCCGCCCCAGGTCCCTGCCCTGGGAGAGCTGCCCTGGCACGAGGGCTTGGATCACTCCATGCAGTTACCCATGGGAGTTTGGAGTGGTACCACCTGCAGCCCGGGCTCCCTCAGCAGCAGCTGCTCCCAGGGCCTGCAGCTCCTTCCCAGGTGTCTCTTTGTCCAGCCTAACTCTGCAAGCTGCCTCTTTCTGCTGGCAGCATCCAGACTCATTCCTCCTCTCCTTTATTAGCTGGAATTCTTGTAATCAGAGTTTATTAGAAATCCACTGGCTTTGGGAGCAGCTTTGGGTAGCTGTGCCAAAGCTGAACCATATGTGTATTTATTTATTCCTGAACATTGTGCTGACAAAAGAAAAACCTCTTGCCCTCTGGCAAGTCTCAGTAGCAAGACTGGGTAACATCAAGTGGGGCTGGGAAGAGCAAAGCAGAATAAAGAGCACAGAGCTGTGGGACAGTGGGAGGAGGCAGGGGGAGGGCACTGCCCGCGGGTGAGTGGCTGATTCCAGAGGCTGGCACTTGGGGCAAAGGGCTGGAGCTGCAGGCAATTCCTGCTCCCCGGGGCTGAGCCCTGCTGTGGGCTGAGGGCTGAGGAGTTCCCAACCACCACCCTGCAGTAACAGCCCGCTCTTGTCCCGCACAGGGGAAGGGGCTGCGGTGCTGCTGCGCTCCCTGGAGCCTCTGCAGGGCCTGGATGCCATGAGGGAGCTGCGCAGGACCTCCAGGAAAGCCCCCACCAAGCTTCTCAAGGACTGGCAGCTCTGCAACGGCCCCTCCAGGCTCTGCCAGGCGTTTGGCATCGACAAGGCTTTTGACCAGAGGGACCTGACTCAGGACACAGACATCTGGATGGTGCCTGGACAGGACCTGCCCGGGGAGCAGGACGTGGTGGCCACCACGAGGATTGGCATTGGCAACAGAGGGGAGTGGGCACAGAAACCACTCAGGTTTTATTTACGAGGGAACAGATTTGTGAGTGTTGTGGACAAGAAAACGGAGAGAGAGATGGCAGCAAGGGGACACTCGCCTTGCAGCTGACAAGTCTTGCAAGGGTGCCACCAGCCAGGACTTGAGCTGTGCTCTGTACAAGGACCTCAGGCTGTGTCGTGGCAGATACAGGGGCTGGGGGTTTTTAACAATAAATGTACTTTGTTACAATGGATGGGGCCAGGTGGAGTTTGTTTGCAGGGCAGACTGAGCCAGAGCTGAATTGGGTTTGGACATTGAAGGCCACTTTTTCCCTTACCGGTGGATCCAGGCTTAATTAGAGTGGGTGAGTGGAGAAGGTTCCCAGCTCTGAGCTGCTGTGCTGCTCCCACTGCCCCAGCCCCCAGCAGAGGGGAGTCGTCAAAAAATGGGATGGCAGCAGGGCAGACTGAAGGGATGAGAGCTGGGAGAGGAGACAAAGGAGGGATCTTACCGTTGTCTGCAACTGCCTCGTGGGAGGGTGTAGAGAAGAGAGAGCCAGGCTGCTGTCAGACAGGATGAGAGGCAATGGGCACCCGTGGGAAAACAGGAAATTCTCATTAGCTGTGTGGAAAAAATGTTCACCACGAGGGTGGTCAAACACTGGACCAGGGGCCCAGAGGAGCTGTGGGACATTCACACCTCCATGGGACAGGCTGCTGAGTGACCTGATCCGACACCTTTCCTTGGAGCAGAGGTTTGCACAAAAGACTTCCAGAGACCCCTTCCAGCCTGCACCCATCCACAGTGTCCAGCCTGGAGACCAGAATGGGTTCTGTTTGTTTTCCCAGCTGCTGGAGCTCCTCCCGTGCTCTGCTGCTGGGTAGGTAAGTGAGATAAAGCTCCCAGTGTCACCCAGTTTGTGTGGGCGAGTGAGGCTCTCCCGAGTCTGCAATCCTGGGAGAAACCCCAGCTGGTGTGTGTGGGGAAGGGAAGGACTGCAGGAGGAGCCTGACAGCCTTGTGACAACAAAGCCCTGCAAGCTGCCACCCTGGAGGTAAAGCTGTCCCTGCCCTTCCCCAGGCACGCAGCTTGGAGCAGCTGTGGGAACAGGGGCCTCACAAGGCCAGGCTGAGCTGACTCGAGTCCTGCTGTCCCCAGGACCAGCACTGTCACCTCTTGTTCTGGCCCTGGCATGGCTGCAGTCCCAAGCCAGACCAGGAAACACAAACCCCTATTTCATTTTTCCCTGGATAGCTTTAACCCAGGCCAGGATCCCAGTCTGGTTCCATCAGCCACAGCCATGCCTGGGTGAGGAGAATGGCAGGACACAACAAGCACTGTGGGACAAGCCCAAGTGCCCTTGGCTCCAGCCTCTGGCTGTGTGGAACACGTGCACTTGCAGCTTGGCCACTCATTTCAGTCCTGCTCAACAACCCAGCTCCCACCCCCAGGAAAAACTGGAAACCCAGGAGCACACAGGCTGCTTAGAGACAGCCCTGCTCCAACAGACACTTGGGACCAGGATACTGGGGTGAGGAGAGAATGAGCTGAGGCACAGTGAGCAAGTCACTCCTTCATTCATGAAACTGTTTACTTGTGATACTTTGCCTTCCTGGCCATGTCCTCAGGTAACAACGATCAAACAGAACTCCTCGGTGCCCAGGGCATTTCCCTGTAATCCAGGCCAGCTGCACTGTGCCCTGGAGCAGGGGCTGTGCTGTGGGGACGTGGCTGAATGGCCCAGCAGTCGTGCCTGGAGAGCAGAGGAAGCACTTTCGATGCACCCGTGTCCAGCTGAAGGGGATGTTCTGTCAGCAGCCCCACAGGGGAACTGTCCTTGTCCTGCTCTCACAGTCCCTGGGGGCAGCAGGGGCAGGGAAGGGCTGTGCCCCTGGCATGGCAGGAATCCCAGCTGGGTGGGCAGTGCTGTCCTGCAGCAGGCCCAGAGCCCGGCACAGAGTGGCCTCAGCTGCCACCGCGGGGAGCAGGGGGGACAGCGAGGAGGGGGAGAACCTGCTCTGTGCCACGGGCAAGAAATCACCTCCTCTGGTTTTCAGGCATCTTCCAGACACGGAGAGCGTGGCAGGTTCCCTTCCTGTGCCGGCAGGGTCACTTCAGGAGGGACTGAAAGACGGAAATCACGGGGTCCTCGTGGCTGGTGACCACCAGGACACTGCGGAACTTGTCGAAGAGCATCAGCAGCTGCGAGCGCCGCATGTTCTCGTTGTACATGATCTCCTCCAGGTGGTGCCGCCCTCGGAAGTAGTGCAGGAGCCTGTGGGAGCAGAGCCAGGGGGGCACGTGGGCCAGAAGCACCTGCACACACCTGGAGCCCATCCTGCCACCCCCGAGGTGTCCCCTCCCATGGGATGCAAATCAGAAGGTGTTTGGGTTGTGTCCCTCATTTGCATGAATTAAATAATGATACCATTAAATCATGCCTAGCACAGAAATCCCCCTGGAAAAGCAGGGGCTTTGCCAAGGTCCTCCTTAGATCAAGAGGTTTCCTAGCCTGTAGCATTTCCCAAGACTGGCAATTTTCAGCGTAGTTATAACTCCTGAAAAAGTGGAGAGGCACAAGTGCCAACAAGCCTTGGGAAGTCAGGAAGTGGCAGATTTATTTCTGCTGTCTCTTAGCTGGGGCTACAGTGCCCTTTGTCACAGCTCTGCACCAGGGGCCTGGGCACCTGCACTGCCTTTTGGAATTAAGAGGAAATGTTCCCTCACAGCAGTCTAAGGGGTTTTGTGACTACAGGTTACAAAAACCCAAACTCGCTCAGGGTTGGGGCAGCTTGGGTTGGGTGGAGCAGTCACAACAGGGAGCTGGAAGTGTTGGTGACAGGCACCACAGAGAAGCTCTGGGAGTTAAAAGCCCCCAAACTGTAAAGCCATCACAGCTCGAACTATGCTGGCTTCTTAAATTCTCAGTTCTCTTTAAACATAGCACAGATACCACCCACACACTACAGCCATCAGATAAGCTCGGCCCTGCACACTCAATCACAGCCCAAATTTGCTGCTCAGTCTCTTGTCCCACCCTCCCAAACGTCAGAGCCATCCTGCACGTGTCACTCCAACACTCCCACCCACCCAGGCCCAGAATCCCTGCCCAGCTCCACAGACAGATGTGCATCCCCACGTGTTTGGCATCACCCTCTGCACTCCAGCTCGCGTTCCATTACCCGTGTGCAGCTCCATGCCAGCTGACAGCAAAACTGACTGGAGGTGACATGATCTGTTTTCCAGCCCATCCATAGAGCCCTCAGGCAGGAACAGCCCTAAAATACACCGAGTATCCACCAGAGCATTCCTGTCTGTTCTCACACGGCAGCAGGACGGGGACCAACACCTGCCTGGCTGCCTCCTGCTGCTCAGGCTGAAAAGTGGCCATTCCCAGGGGCAGTGGCACTTCTTGTGTGTCAAAACCAGGCTGTTCCCTGAGGCACCAACAGAAATTGCTGTACCTTGTAACTTGTGCCTCTGCTACCAAAATGGTTTGTGTGTCGTCTCCCTGTGCCAGCCCCACGTGCTCGCCTGTTCTGTGCTGACAGCTCAGCCTGGTTCTCCACAGCGACACACTCTGAGCAGCTTCCCAACAAATAAATCCATCCTATATTCACAAAGTTGGGATCTGTAATGGGTCAAGAGGAAATGCTTTCCAATCCAATAAAAGCTAGGGAGGATATTAAAGAATATCACAAAAATCTCGGCTGGAAGACACCTCCAAAGTCCAGTCCAGCATCCTGCTCCAGCAGGACTGCTGCCAGTGCTGCAGCTTTTTCCAGCCAAGCTCAAACCCTTCAGAGATGGAGATCCCCCCATGTGCTTGGGCAATCTGTCCTGGGCTGCACCACCCTCCCAGGGAAGAGCTTTTCCCAAAAGTCCAGCTGGAGTCTACAAAGCTGTACTTGGGGCTCACAGCTCCAGTGGAGATGGGCACTACCTTCACCCAGATGGGCAGTGAACATTTATGGGACACAAAGAGCACAAGACGGCACTTCCTGGGGCAGTGGCACTGCATTTGAGTCCCTCTGAAGCTGCACAGATGTGTCTGCTGTGGCCAGATCCAGATGCAGTGATGGGAGATCGTTGCTTTCCACGGCTCATCACTGCTCTCCCTTCTTCAGGTTGTAAGAGCTGCCCCTGTACCAGCACTGTGGTGTTCTGACACACTGAAACATCCCCACAGTTACCTCAGACCAGCCACTCAAACAGAATTCGCTTATTTCTGGCCAAGGAGATGTCCCTTCCACAGCACTGCCTGAAAACATAGCAGAACTGTCCACAGCTTGGCGCTGCCAATGAGCATTCCAAGTGGAGTGAAGGATCTCACCTCCCCATCTGAGAGCAAGAAAAATAAATCCTGAAAGCAGCTCCACACCCCTGGCTTGGGAGAGAAGCCATGAGTGAAGCCTCAGCCTTCTTCCAAAGCACTGCTTAACATGCAGTGAGGAATGCTTTGTGTATATTACCCAAGATCTGGCTCAAAGGAACTTGTCTCCTTCTTAAGCCTGTTCTGGAAGGACATCCCAACCCTCCTCCAGCTGCACCCAAGGAAAGAACTCGGATTTCAATTCCCATTCAGTGTTTTGAGGGTTAATGCAGCCAATGCTGGAGCCAAGTCCTGTGTTCCTTGATTCCCCCTGAGGTTTGTGCCGTGCCAAGAGGGGCTGTGCACGGCCCTGGACAGGCAGCAGCACTCTGAGCTGTCTGTGTAATGAGGTTCAGAGGCATCAGCAGAGGAAAATGGCCGGGGCTGAACTTCAGTGCTGTGCTGGAAACAGCTCGACCCTCTGTGTGCGCACACAGCTCCCTGTGCAGGGGCAGGCACAGCATCTTTAGGGCTCTGGCTCTGCATTTACAGCCCTGGGCTGAGCTGAGCCAGCAGAGCTGTTCGCCAGAGCACAGCCCCCCGTGGGCTGCTGGTCCTCAGAACACGGGAGGGGAAGGGCTGGTGCAGCACATGCATGAGGGTAATGAGGGAGAGCAGCTCCTTCACTGCAGCTTCTCCTCAGCTCTTTGCCCTTTCACTGAGAGCAACAGAGTTACCCACACACTCATTTCTGTGTGTGCCCCCAGGACCATCTGTTTACTGTATCTCCTCCCTTCCTCTCAGCTCCTGAGAGCACCTTGTCAATTCAAGCTGTAGCACAGCAGAAACTCAGACCCAGCCAGGCCATCCCGGGGGTCTGCAAAGGAACCTGGAGCAGGAGCAAACTGCACAATTAACATCACTCAGCTGCCTGGTCACCCAGCTGCTTCCACTAAGGAATCAGAGTCATTTTCTGCACCTGCAGTTCCAAAGCTTTCTCAAATGGCTGGTTTACCCAGATGTAGGAAGTGAGAGGGGAGCAATCACAGCATGCTTTCCTCTCCCTAGGATAAATAAGTCCCCTACAAATTCTGTCTTAAGATATCACTAAATATGATTTTGTTTTTACTTTCTTTTCTCGCTGGTTTTGTAACGACTTAGCTGGTAATATGCAAAAACCACTTTCAGAGTTCTCAGATGGCCAAAATGTTGCCTCTCAATCAGAGAATATCCTCTGAACAGTTGCAGAAGAGGAAGGAGACGCGTGATTCAGAGAGCAGTGACTACCCACATGCTTTGAGAGCTCTGTCAAAGTCCCTGAGCTGTACCCTGCTGCAGACAAGGGATGTGCATTTTCCTGCTATTGCAGTTTCCCTGGGCTACCTGACTGTATCCACCCCAGGGTGAGAACCAGATTTCCAGGGGATTACCAACTGAATCCAGGAGTATTGAACAGCTGCAGCCCTGGCCTCGGGTGGTTTTCTGCTCCACAAGTATGAAAACCAGTGAAAGTTGCATTCCAGCGATGCCACTGAGTTTTGCAATCCTTAGGAAGAAAAAAAGCATTTCCTCCCCTCCCCTCCCTCCCTGCTTCCCAGATGGCTGCTCAGGAAGTCATTCTGCTTTTACCACGTGCACAACCACACCGTGAGTGTTATTGTTGTGTGGAAATTCGCAACAACAAAATGTGCGCTGCTCAACACACCCCCTAACGCCTCTAACCTAATTAACCTGACACTGGGAGCTCTCACTGCTGCGAAACACACCTTGAAACATTCACAGACTGCTCTGCGAAACACACCTTGAAACATTCACAGACTGCTCTGCAAAAGGTTTCAAGGCTGGCTCTGTGTCTCAGGCTCCTCATCTCAGATCTGCGTGGAGTTTACAAACCTTAAAATGAGCAAGAGGGCGGCGTCAGCATCAGGGGGTTTTCTTCCCTTCGCCTGCTCAGAAGGTTTTTCAGGCTGTGCAGTTTTGTGTCTGCCACGTGTGGACACAGGAGAACCTGGCAGGCAAGCAGTGGAGCCCAACCACAGGCCCAGGACTCTGTTAACAAGTGTTCTCGTGCCACATGTATTAGTTCTTGTCAAAAACTGCTGTGCACAGATGACACAGATGTAAGGGGGACTAACCCTAAGGAGTGTATCCTCCGAACCCCCAGGCTAATGGGATTGGCTGAGTCCACACCAGTGAAGCTGCATTCCCGCTCCTCACCTTGCAAACATGCGGAGATCCTCGGGATTTTGGGCAGCGGGGACGTTCAGGATCGCTTCCCGCTCGTGCTCCAGCAAGCTGGCCAGGAGATTCTCCGTCATCCTTTTATTCAGGGGGGAGTCCCCCCCAGGTATCAACTCAGCACTGGAATTATCCATGCTAGGGCTTGTCAGAGTCATGTCATCACTGCTGGCTGTGGGGGGAGAGACACAGATAAACACAATCTTTATATTGCTCAGCATAACCACGCAAAGGTCACCAATTCAGGTTGTTCCCATGCAGCCTTTCCAGCTAATCCCTTCAGATTTGTGGAGCAGAGGAGGTGGCTCCCCAAATGCCAAACTGAATCTGCAATTAGTCCTATGACAACACACAGCGATTTTCTCAATGGGAAATTCAAATGTTTCAACAAACTCATCGATTTGTGTGGAAAACTCTACTTCTGGAGACCATAAATGGTCCATAAAAAAACACCTGACAAGAAAATTCCCAGCCAGCTCTGCTGGAATAGCGTGAAGTGGTAACACGAAAAGCCTAACAAGCACAGAAGGTGGGAGCAGGCAGAAGGGCCAAGAAGCAATATCCTCTTGTGAGCGAGCCAGAATCAGCAGATCACAGACTTATCTGACTCACATTCCAAGATTCCTGCCCTAAGTCACGACTTCTGTAAAGCTCGAAGTTGTACAGAGGATCTCTCCCCGTACCCAACCTGAGAACACTGCTCAGAACAGCACAGGCAGGAAAGTTTGGGGATTTCAGCATTGCATCTGACTCATGCTCTTGAAAAAAAATGCTTTTCCTGGAATCACCCTGAAGAATTGCACTGAGATTAAAGAAGGCAGGAGACATAAACAGAAATCAATCATTTGTGAGAACAACAGCCAGCTCCGTGTCTCCTCAGGTGGCTCCACAGCCCACAGAAACCAGTGTTTGAAACAAATTCCCAGGTTTTTTTCTCTCCTGAAACCCAAAGCTTGGGCAGTAACAGTGGTGCAGCCAGAGGAACACCGGGGTTACTGCTGAGAGCACCAAAGGAGGAGGGAGCTGCTTCAAAAACAAAAATGGAAGTACCTCTCATAAAAATCTTTCAAGTGGCCAAATGAGAACTTGTCAAATTACAAAGCATTGTTTCTTTTTAAAAAGAAGAATTCAAGGTCTGCTAGTCCTTAAGACTTCCACCACTGGCCAGTGTGAATTTAAGAAGGGCTGGGCCTAGTTAGCAAGGACTCCAGGGAGAGCAGTGGTCTCGTTTTCAAGGCCTGCTGGCCCTTGGCAGGGCTCGGGGGAGCTCTGGGAGTGAGCTGGAGCCTAAAACAGCAGAGACAAGCGTGCTCATACTTGGAGAACCAAAGCTGAGGGCATTGGGGGTGCTCAGGCTTCGGCCTCCAACCCTGGCAGTGAAGGGCATGTCGTCATCCTGGGCCCGGAGCTCCTCCTCGTTCGGGGGCACCATCAGGCACACGTAGGTGTGCAGCTGGATCAGGAGCCTGTGCTGGAGCATCCATATCACCATCTGGATGAGCTGGGTCTGCAGAGGGAGAAACAGGGCATTAAACACCCAGGAAATGGAATACAGGGGGGCAAAACAACACCCAAAGGTCAGACTTTGTGACTAAGCAGTCAACGAGGAAGGCTTTTCACCCCACAGGGCAGTTTATCTCTCTTTCCAATCGAGAAAAGGTGGCCAGGCACAAACATTCCTCACACCCTGAGCCTCTGAGGGTGTAATGGAGCCTTTAATGGTCAACATGTCTTTGTGCAACACTGCCCAGCACAGCCAGCAACCTCCAAGGAACCGGCCCTGCCCCGGTCTGCTGGTTCCTGCACAAGGGCCACTACAATAAATCAGCAAAGGGTCACTCCTGGGTGGGCAGACTGAAGGGCAGGCTCCCCTGGAGAGCTGGGAGAGGGCAGGGGGCTGGGGCAGAGCTGGAGAAACCAGGAGAGGTGCCCAGGAATAGGAGCCATTTGCTGTGAGATGGGAAACTGCTGAGTAGCCATGGGAGAGGCTCTGGAGATCAGAGCCTGCCAGGGCTGGGAGATACAGAAACAGCAGCAGCAGCAGCCTTGGCAAGGGCCAGCAGGCTGTGCTGCCAGGGAGTCCCCTCTTAATAAAGAGGGTCAGCATCCCTCAGTTGCTGCTATAATAACACAGGCCAAGCTTATAAAGACACCTGGGCTTTCAGGGTGCAGGGAGGCAGGAGGGTCACAAGCCCTGAGAGATGTCTCTGGTGTTAAACACACACATCACCTGTGTCAGAGCAGCTGCACCACGTCCCCAAGGCTGCTCTGCAGTGGGCAGAGCCAGGGGCAAGTGTCTGTAGGATCCTGGCATGGCCTGTATCCAGGAGCTGGGGAGGAGCATTCAAAATGCATCATTGTGTCTGATTTCTGCATGAAAAGCCTTTTCATATCACTGCAGGCAACCCTCCCCATAGCTGAGGGCCCTGAGAACACTGATTCACTGACAAAGCTGTTTGGGGATTTCATAGCAACCAACACTGTTTTGGTGAGAGAAACACATGCAGCATGAGCTCAGGCTCTGAGAAGGAAGCTCGCTCTGCTGCATTAATCATCAGGGTAACGGGCCAAATCTCAGTAAAAGCCCCAAACCCAAGTTCATCAGCCCACATAATTTTCCTTTTTCCATAAATCTTATAATTCTCAGTTCCTCCTCTGCTATCAAATCACAAAAGAAGCCTCTTTTGTTTGCAGACAGGCCCACACCCTGCCTTTTCAGGGATTACCACTTTTGGGGGCTCAGTGGATTTTAACCTTAAAACATGATATGGGATCGCCTTCAAACATGTATTTTTTTGAAAGGCCATAATTCATTTTACATGTCTAATGAAAAATGTACAGGAGAGGAAGAAAGACAAATTTTTCTTTGGCAAAAGACACCAAAGACACAGTGCTCTGCTAACATCTGAAGTCAGCCTGGAAGAGTGAGGAGGTTTATCCAGTGATTATTTTGCCGAAAACCTTCCTCCCAGATGCAGGCCTGGATGAAAAGATGTCTCATTTATTTTGCTTAACTTTCCAACCTGCTGGCACACAGCGATGTCTGATCAGCAAATGAAAGAGGTCTGCACATTTCACAGCACAAAACAGCCCTGGATAAATCCAAGGCAACTCAAGGAGGCTCGGTAAGACAGGCTCTACCAGACCTGCACAAGCCTGATCCAGACCCACTTCCACTGGTCACTTGGGTGGTTTCATGAGTTACAGAAAGAGGTTCAGTTGCTTTAGTTACAGCTCCAAATGCGTGGAAAGTCTTATCCAACACTCGCTAATCCTGCACCTTCACGTCTCTGCTCTTGTGGAAATATCTACACAGCCACCTGGAAATGGGCAGTGACCAACTGCAGAACTGGAGGAAACTTCTTCCACACTGAAGTGAGCCTGAAAAACCCTCCCTACACCAGAGAGTCTGATGATCCATGATGGTTATCTGCACTTCAGCGGGAATTTGGTACCTCTTAAAATCCTGTCCTAGAAAAAGCCCAGGTGCTGCAGGGTCCTGCAGCTGGGCCCTGCCCCAGTGGTGTGCTCTGTGCCACCACTGCAGATGTGCCTCACACCATTCCCACTTCTTCTGGGTTTCTCACCCAGCCCATTTCTCACCAGCAGGAGTGTTTGCACAGGTAAGGTCTAGCAGAGGCTTTGCTAACACTTCTGCTGCATGGCCTTCTGGATACCAACTCTGAATTTCCATCTCTGATGGAGTTTACAGACTCTGCAGGAGCAGAGGCTCCCCTGAGCCATCTGTGCTGTGCTGGCTGCTGGAAATGCTCCTCCTCCCCCAGCACTACAGGCTCATCTCTGTGTCTGGTCTCAGCCTACTTGCTCAGAGCTGGGCTCCTTGCTGAAGCCAAAGGGCTGGGAGTAGCTCCCCAGGCAGGATATACTTCAATCCCAGGACTGCCTCTGCTCCCTCAGCCATCCCCTGGCACAGCAGGAATCCACAGCCAGCCTCTTCTGGCTGGAACACCAGGACCGGGATGGAAACACGAAGCGAAACACTCTCTGTTGCTTCATTTAACTGCCAGCCCGCTCCAAATTTCATCCATGTTCCTTTTCATCCTTCCCATCTGCCTCTTCCCAGCTCTGAGGGGTCCTGTCTGCCACAGCATCTGGTCTGTTCCTGCTGGCACAGAGCAGCCCAGGCTGATCCCATCCCATGGCACAGCAGGGCCCAGGCACAGGGAGAGCCCGTGCAAGGCAGCAGGGAAGGCACTGGGACAATGCCCTGCTTGTGCTGACTGACACAGGCAGAGATGCTGCACTGGCTCCCAAAAACATGGGCACTGCATGTCAGCCCAGCTGGGCAGCTTGGGATGGCCAAAGGAAAGCTCAGCCCTAACTGTTGGAGGGACAAGATCCAGCATTGCTTATTCTCTACCCTCTGGAATCAAGGGGAGCACTTGTAAAACTCCTGAGAAGTGCGTTAAATAAAACACATTTCCTGCAAGGATTCTTCAAGGCTGTTTTCTTTCCCTGGGCTAAAATGCTAAGGATAACTGGGAGCAGCAACAGGTTCAGGAAAGGGAAGGGAAAAGAGCAACCCAGCAGCATTCAATCCAAGCTTGTTTCTCACCACATCAGGAGACACTCTCAGTTAAAACACAACTTTGAAGCACACAAGCCCCTTTCTCCAGCCTAGATCATCCAGTTATTTGACACATGGTCACGCATTTGACTTCAAGGTCCAGCTTGAGAACTGAGGGCTGCCTTGTAGGATGGCTCAGTTCAAAGTGAACAGGGTGCAGGGATGTTTGCTGAAATATATTATGTTTCTTTAGCATTCAAACCCCGCTGTTTTATGGAAGGCAGATCAGCTATTAAAGCTTCCCCCCATTTTACTGAAAACAGACTCTGAAAACTCCTACTAATGTAGTATGAAACATTTACTGTCTAATCATTAGGTAACAGCTCTAAATCCTCAGCTTAAACATTCCCTCCATTTAGGCCTAGCAAGCACATATTTTTTTATCTGGCTTTATATACCCAGTCCAGCTGAATATAAATGCATCCCAACACCACTTCCCCACCTCTCCCAGCAAAAGCTCCCGTGACTCCTAATGCCTTCCAGATGCCCAGCAGAGCAGTCCCACGAGCAGTGTGGCTCTCTGAAGACACAGCAGCCTATTCAGGGTGTGCAGGCAGCTCCCCTCCCACTCCATCCTCCCCTGACACTCGGGCTCATTTTCCGGCACGTTTTCCGGATGCAGAAGGCAGAGGCCTCGTCCCCCCGTGCCTGACTCCCTGCAGGATGGCCAGACTTGCTAAAACAACAGGGAAAAGTTAAACACATTTAGTTCAGCAGCAGCTGTCGTGCTTTCCCATCTGTTTTTTTCCTGCAGTTGTCCACGTCCAACCAAGGGGGAATTGGAGATCTACAACAATAACAATGTGTGTTATGGATGCAGGGAGGAAATGGGATGTCTGGTTCACCCAGGAACACTCCTTGGACCTTGTGGTGGAAGGATCCCTCCTTCTGGTCCACCTTTGTTGAAGGCAGGGCAGGGAGGTGTTACAGCTTCTCCTGAAGCAGATGAAGTAGCTGAGGTTGCTGCACAGATGAGGGGAAGCCACAAGCACCATTCCCTGCTCTTGGTCTGAAAAGAAACTTCATGCAGAGCAGCTGGGTGTAAAACTTTGATTTTGTGCAAAGAAAGCCTTGCAATGAAAAGCAGGTTAAATGAAGCCTTCCCATGCACCAGAGGCAGTGCCTGGTACAGATCCTGTCCAGGCTTTGGGTCACCATGAGCTCCTGTGCTTTCCTAGGAGGTTTGAAGGGATGTGCAGCCCTCTGAACCCCCCCAGAGCTCCACTCCAGGGTGCTCTGTGCTCACATCAAGGCTGTGCCACGGGGACAGGAACCAGCAGTCACAGGCAGCACAACAGGCACAGTTTCTTTGGGGTCAGGGTAGAGGAGATGCAAACTGCTTCTTTTCCAGTAAAAACGCTAAAAGGGAACATGAGTTCCCAGCTCCCAGGATCCCCCCACCCAGTGGCTGCACCCTGGTGAGATCCAGGACAGTCCCAGGCTGCACTGGATCGCTGAGTCCTGTGCAGAGCCTGGTGGAGCCAACACACAACTCCCCGTGAGAAGGGGAGAACAGCTCCTGCTCCCCTCACCCCCTCAGCTGCACAAGGTCTGCAGGAATCACCCCCCTCGCTCTGTGCCAGCCCCAGAGCTCAATGGATCTCCCCTGAGAGAATTGCACCTGCTAACCTGGCAGAAAACTGTGCAGCTGAAACAAGTGACATGAATGGAGTCCAGCTGGACAGGAGCCAGAGCTGCAGCAAAGGGAAGAGAGGAGGGGAGGAAGGTGGGTGTGTGTGTGTGTGTGCACACCTGGGAGTGGGAAGGGAAAACAGGGCCTGGGCTCAGCAGCACCCAGGTATCATAAGATCAGAGTTGTAGGTGTGGGCTCATCCTCACAGTGCTGCCACCCCAGCATGGCAGGGAACACAGACAGAGAGCAGCAGGCACAGAGCACTGCAGGAACACCAAAATCTTCTCAGCTGAGAGACATGCAACAACCAGAGTTCAACTGCAATAACACTGCTCAGCACCACAGGCAAGAAAAGAGACCGAGCTGGCGTGATCAGGGATTCCTGTGTCTGGCACAGGGCACAGCTGAGAGCACTGGCAGGGCTGGCAGACACCACTCCCTGGAGATCTCCCACCCACTTGACTGGCAGACACCAAAAGCAGATTGTAGACATGCACTCCACCTTTCAAGGCAGTCCTGTCCTTGCAGGTTGTTGGTGCCTCCTACCCAGCCAAAAATTACCACAGCACGCCAAGTATAAAAATGAGTGTCACAATTTGTTCCTCCACCCAAAGGAATGGAGAAATTCCACTCGTGTAACAGTAATCAAAAGTAACTTGGTCCCCTTGCAAATACTTCTGTATAAAAACAGGAGCCCTCCTGTTTCTTATCTTGGGCTTTAGTAATGCCTTGTGTATTCTCTACCCACCCAGAAGCAGATGCCAAAAAGAGGGAGCCAATCCCATGCTTAAGGCAAGAATCAAATGGGATGGATGCCATGAAACCAATAACAGTGTCTGCAGAAGATACACCCCCTCCCTACCGACCTTCCAGCACAAATGACCTTCAGAAGCACAGGCAGTACCCTCAGCCTGATGGAAAGCACGAGATAACAGGCAACTACTGAAAATCTTCAAAGTTCAAAACCCCTCACATCCCCCCCTGTGCACACAAAGAACAAAACTACAGGAAAAGGTCCCGACTTTGTCAATTTTTTTTCAAAGGCAAAGCATATTTGACAATATTTACAGTTCAGAGTACAGCATCTTCTGTCACTGCACCGTGGAAAAAAAACCCATTCACATCTCATTAGATTAATTAGATTAAACAGACAGAAGTATTGAAGAAGTATTAGGGCAAGTGATTAATTTTAAAAGAGGTACTGAGAACGTCTCCTGCAGCTAGAGTAAAATTAATGCCATGATTTCAGCTTCAATTTTGCAGGACACTGATTTGTCTGTCCCTGCTGTGAAGTCCTGCTCCTCCCCTGCCTCCCAAGGTGGCAGCTGACCAGCACATACTATTGGGATTAGACCTACATCGTGACTTATCTTTATCTCTGATCATCATCTCTGCCAACCTGTAATTACAACAAATTCTTTCCCTCCCAGTCGTGCCCCAGTGTGCAAGTGCCACTGTTGATCTCCCCAGGCTCTGAGCAGTGGCTCAATTCACGCAGCCAGCAGGTCCTCCAAGCCCGAAGGCCAGAAACAACACCAAGAGACATCAGCCCAGGAACTCTGCCTGTGCTTCCTCTGCCATCAGAGCAGTATCAGCCAGGAGACCTCCCATCACTGAGCTCTGCCTTGCACGTCACCACTTCCCAGAAGTGCCACAAGCCGTGACTGATGCGTGAGCTCACAAATCCCAAATCCGTGCATTATTAACCCAAATCTGAACGCTAAAAGCCTAATGCTGGAACACATGGACTCCTGCTGACTCCATGCTGAGTCCACTTCCTCCAACAGCCTTTAAGCAATTCCAGTTTCACAGCAAAACTAAGTGAACAGACAGTTTGCTTTCAAAACCAGATTGTGAACTCGGAGCAGATGGAATATAATAAAATTAAGCGTGATTGTGAGGAATCCACAAACTTGCAACTCAAGCCCTACTAATTTATGACAGTTTGCCACAGAGCAAACGGAGTTTCAGTTTCCCCTACTACATCACTCCAGGAAAACAAAGATTCCAATGTTTTTTTTAGGGCTGTGCTTTGGTTTTGTTCACCTTGAACATCCCCACCGCTTTCTGGCACGGGGACATGAAACAACAAATCATGAGGTTGGAGACACAGTATTGGAAGCTTCTAAACTTGCAACAGGAGGTTCCTGAGCCAGCACTCCAGGAGCAGCACCACTCCTGGCTCTCCTGAGCAGGAGGACGAGGAGCTGTTGGGCACTGCCCAGCTCACCTCCTGCACGGGCGGCGCCAGCGGGTTCTTGAACTCCGAGAGGGACACGGGGAGGGAGAACTTGGAGAGCATGGATGGCAGGTTGTGGCCACGGAACTGGCAGGAAAATGCCTCTGCCAGTGGAGAGTAACTGCAGGAGAGAGGGAAAGGCAGAGATCAGTTCTACAGTGCTGGTCACATTTATCCAGGGTTACAGGAGTGCCAGCTGCCAAATGAAATATCCTCTGTGATCTAGGAAAACCCTAAGGATATTCATGGCACGTGGCATCCTGCAGAAGTGACTAGAAGCTTTTGCACTTGCATTCAGCTCCAGGACATTATTCAAGGTGTGGAGGGAATCCAGAGGAGGAAAATATAAGTGCTAAAAAGTCCAGACCTGTGCAGTCTGTGGTCAAAGGGACAGGGACTGGGCAGTCCAGAGCAGGCAGGGATGGGCAGGATATGCACACAGTCTCTGCATGTGCAGACTGCAGCTGCGGCTGTTCCCCCTGCCTTTGCTGACAGGGCAAGCAATATGACTGATTAGAAGTGAAGGAGAGTCAAGTTAAATATTAGGAAAACTGTTTTAAGGTTTCCATCTCCAAAAGTCTTCAAGAACAGCACTGCCATATATGACACAGGCACAGTTGTTCCTGAATGACCTCAAGGTCCCTTCCAGCCCTATTTTTAAACTTCCATCAGAGAAGTTTTGATTTAAAACTATTTTCCTATAACCGAGTTCCAACACAGAGTCTAAACACATCTCAAAATCCAGCAGTGGAAGGGTTGCCAATCTTCAGCAGAGCAAAAATACCCACCACTGCCTCCACATCTTCCTTGCAGTGTCTCTGCCTGCTCTCCAAATGGCCACATTGCCTTCTGTCTGTGAGAGGGCACACAGTACAAAATGCCAACACATGACACAATGCAGTAGTGATGGCAACACTGGCTTGATCTGATTCCATCCAGGTGATGCTGCGTGGCAGACACACAGACACAAACCACCCATTCAACTTCCTCACGAAGCATTTTGTTTTTGTAAATGTTTCCCTCTTGCTCCCGGTCCACACAGCCTTCCTGATATGGGCATTCAGGGAGCAAGAGCACTAAAAATACCAACAGCAGCTTCCCAGGGCCCACAGCACCACGGGAGCACATCGATCTGCTCTGCTGCTCCTGCCTGCCCACACTGGCTGTGCAAGTCCAGGCACAGGTGATGGTTTGTGTGTTGTAGAGTCTCAGCAAATTCACACGTGAAGAAAGATCCCACTTTGTGTCCAGTCAGGGGAGGAGGGTGCCTCTGCACTCCTCACCCCTGTGCTGACAAAGACACTCATCTACTTACAGACAGACACTGGCATTTGGAGAGAGCATGTAGACGTTGTTTTCACAAAGAGGGTAAATAATAATTGCTTTTCCCCAGTAAACGAGGTGTGCAGCAAGCTGGAAAACCTGCATTGAGACAACAGGGAAAAATCAGGGGAGCAAAAGTGAAATTCAACCTCTCAGCAAACATTCCACACAGTGACAGAAAAGCCTTGTCTGAAGTGAAAGGAAAGAAAAATGTTCCATCCTTTCACCCTGCCTTCAGAATAAATTCATGGTTCAGTATAACATGTGGCACATCAAAAAGTATTTGACAGGGTTATGAATCTCCACTTCATATTTCTGAGCAACTTAGTACTTCCTGCCTCAAAGGAATTCCTTCAAACTGTATCTATAGAAGTTTAGTTACTTTTCATGCCCCAAAAAACTGTTTTTCTTTATGCACAAAAGGCATTAAGTGTTGTACATGAAAAATGAAACAAAAGAATCAGCCTCTACTATGACACAAACATAAAGGAAACCAACGGTGCCTTCTTACTGCACTGAGGTATTTCAGTAATGAACTACACGAAGTCTTTTAATGTGTTAAACAAGTCAGTGGTTGCTAATGGCTCTGGAAAAGCCACATAAATAGTGTCTAGGAGACACAAAATCCAGCCTGTATCATTAGATGCATTTAACTGTGCTTTTTTGTGGAGAAACTACAGAAAGAGAGGGGAATTTCCAGAGTTCATTCATCCTGTAGCTAAATAACGCCAAGTAGCACCACAGACCACTGGAGGCAGAGCTGGAGTTTTATTACAAAGCAGGACCTTTCCCTTGGTGCAGATCAGGAGCACGTGTGATGATGAGCTGTGTTCTTCTCCCTGCCACACAGATCGTGTCCCTGGGTCTGAACTGACTCGTAGCACGGAGAGGCTCTTCCCTCTCATGGAACATCTCATTCCCAGTGACCACAATCATCCACAGGGGTCTCTCAGCAGCCTCGAGTTTCATGCAAGTGCCAGAGTCTCATCCCCTCCACTGGCACAAAACTGCCTAACCTAGAGCTTCTTCCAGGGACTCCGCAGAGTCCGTGCACTCATGGACTAAGGACAGTTGATGTGTAAGTTTGCACAGGCCTCCAGAAATCCTTGGCAGATCCTGGAGAAGCAACCTGCTTGGCCATGGCAGCTGTAAATTTTCACTCGCAGTTTGGGTGCGTCCATTTGCACGTCGACATCAACGTGGCAAAACCCAGACAAAGCACTGTGGTGTAAGCCAAGAGGATTATCTGTTCTGGTTTGGGGAACAGGGGAAGGCACAGAGAGGACAGAGCAAATCTCCTCAGAGGGGCACAGGGATGGGACTGGAGGCAACTCACACAAGGTGGACGGTAGGAAATTCCCATTAGACACGAGGAAAGTTGCTGGTCAAACAGTGGACCAGAGAGGCTGGGGGAGGCAGCCCGGGACATGCTCACAATTCGAACAGACAGGTTTTTTGTGAGCCTGTTTGAAGGGACTTGCTCTGAGCAGGGGTGGGGACTGGAGACCCTCAGGCACTGCTGTCACCCCGATGTGGCTGCAGGGCTGTGCCCTTTGTTTCTCCAGCCTCCCCCCAGGCCCCAGGGCTGGCGCTCTCCCCGTGCCCTCTGCTCACAGCGAGGGAGCCGACGTGCGACGTGCTCGAGCACCCCCTGAACCCACGGGCACACAAAGGAAAACACCTCGTGAGTTAAAGGCACTTCACAGCTCCCCATACCTGCAGCAGTGCCAAGTCAGCATCTTGAGCCAGTTGCTGCAAATTCTTCACAGCAGAGGTAGTTTTAATTACTCTCACCAGGGCAGGAGAGCAGTCCAACGGGAGCTCATTAAGCAATGACTTCTCATCATTTAATAGTAATAAGGCATGGTAAGGCCTGCAGAAAAATAGAATACATTTGCACAGTAAACTGCAGCTTGTCCTGAAGGCTCAGTTATTCCCACACCACGATACCTGGGGTCAGTCTAATGGTAAAAAAAGAACTTCTTGTATCATCTTTTTGCTCTAACTGGGTCCAAAATGACCTTATTTTTATGTCACAGGGTAAGATGCTTTCTATTAAAAATGAGATAGAGGATTATATGGTAACTGGATACCCCAGTGACAACGAAAAAAAAGACCGCACTGTGCTGGTAGAATATGAAGAACTAGTCTGAAAACTGCTCATCTGCATTACTGAAATACAGAATGAAGTAGAAGAAAGGGAAAAAGCAAGATTTAGTTTCTTTTGCAGGATAAAGAGCTGCGAACACAGAACGCAGGAAATGAGGTGTCACAGGGCCTGGGCTCTCTTTCTTCTGAAAGCAGAGTTGCTTCTGGGTCAAATACTAAAATGAGCACACAGATCCTCTGACTGCAAGCAGTGCAGGCCTCTCTTGCAGCACCACCTCAGTACAAGCAGCTGGTGTGAACACAGAGGCTGGGGCTGCACAGCACCACCAATCCAGCAGCTTCAGGGGGTCCTGTGTCAGGACTCAGCCCAGGGCCAGCAGTACAGCCCAGTCCCACCATCCCCCTGCTGTGCCAGCACAGGGGTTTGCAGCACCACCCTCAGAGCTCAGGAAGGACTGGCCACACCCTGAAGGACAGAGCTTTGCTCTCTCACCTGATGGATTTCAGACTCCTCTCGATCGCTTCTGGGGGTATGAAGTTGGTGGCAACATAGTGGATCTTGTGAGGGAGGCAGAAGCTCACCTCCAGCCAGTTGTTGATGTGCAAACGAACCACCCCTGTCGTGCAGAGACTAAAACAGTAACAAAATAAATGCATTTACCACGTATCACAAATGAAAGCAGTGGTCCAGATTCACCCCTGCTCAGGAACTGGATCAGGACAGGAAAAGACTGAATGCTCCCTGTCTGTCCCCAGACTGGCTGAGGACCAGCTGATTCCCAGCTGCAAGAGCTTCCTTAACTCGTACTTTCAGAGCATCATCCCCTACAGCGTTTTTGGGGAGGTTTGAAAGACTTCACCACTGAACTTCTGCTCCCTCTGCTCTTAACACTGCATCAGTACCTCCAGTTAAAAAAGGTGCTCCAAGGCAAAGGAAAACTCCCTAGGCCAGAGCTGCAAAGGGCAAAGATGAATTGGGCACATTGTTTGCACCTCTAATTTCCATCCTCCTCTCCAAGGGAAAAGAAAAGGAGATGTCTGTGCTGGGCAAGGGCTGTTCCAAGCAGCACAATTCCACAGTACCAGCCTCCTTCAGTTCTGCTCAGGTTGTTTGTTTAATACTAACCTGTCCCATGAAATCACAAAGGTGTTTGTTAAACGCTTTCTTCATTCTAGGAAACCACAAGGACCGAGCTGAGCCCTTAAGCTGAATTCAGGCAACAGGACTGGAGTGGAAATGATGGACATCTTGGGAAGGACAATGAAGTCTGACCCTCGTGTTCAGGCAGAAAGCAAAGATAAGCCTCTTTCACTGACAAAAACCCAGAAAGCTGGAGATTATAGAGCCACGAGCGTCATTCAGGTGGTTTTACAGGAGTCTGTAAATCTGGACAGCAGTGGAATAGACCTCTGTAGGGAACTATATTTACTTAAAATGGCCAGTGTACCTAAGCCAGTGCCACCTTGCAAACCCTCACAACACTGCGCAGCCCGTGGACAGGGAATGCTGGCCTGGGAACAGCTGTGCCAGAGGCAGTGGCAATGTGCAGGGAGGAAGCAGCAATCTTTTCATGTTTCCACAGAAACACACACAAACAAATATAATACAAATAATACAAATCTATCTCAAGCAACAGCTAATTTTGTCTACACCAGAGAACTGGATCTCTGAAGGTGTCCTTTGATTTTAAACTTTCTTCCGAAAAGAAAGGGGTTTTTTTGGCCTAAAATCACATTTCAAAGCTTGCCCTCTGAAAACTCCAGCCTCAATTTTAAATTCAAGTGTGTTGAGGCTCGCAGTATATGTCTTCTGTGTCAATAACTCCCACGAATTTCCCCTCTACACAAAACATTTTAAAAAACATGCCAGGAGCAAATACACGTCTTAGAAACTCTTTATGTGGCGATTTAGCCATTTATAACTAACATTCAAGTGCAGGCCACAAACTAACGTGCTCTTTTTCGAGTTCATCTGACTCTAGAGAGGGTTTAGAGAGACCTGAAAATTCAGCTTTAAACAAAAACACTGGGCAGCTCTGGCTGCTGGGGTAACTACTCAGCAAACCACAACAGAGTGGTGAGGGAGCAAACACGATCCCCTCCTGCCTCGTGCATGACCAGACTCATTAGGGAAAAGTCTCACTGCAGACACTGCTTTTGAAAAGCTGAGGCCGTGGGTCTGTTCTCATATTTTGCACTGAACTCCAAAAAAACATTGATTTTTCCAGCTGCCAATGGAGTGTGTGTGTGTGTATGTGTTTTCCTTCTCCCAGGCCAAATCCTCACAGCAGAAAACATGACAATAAATGTCTGGGACAAGGGACTTAAAAGGCCACCTGAGAGCTACTGGGGCGTTCAATCAGGTTACCCAAATGCAGCAGAAACACATGAGAACATGAGACACTTGCAGGGATATTTTCCCTGCATAGTTTCACATTCATGAAACAGAAAAAAAAATCCAGTTGGTTCCTTTCATTCTTCCGTCCAAGTGCACCAAGGCAGAAGCTTTAATTATGTAATTACCCTCTCCACAGCTTAATTTTGTCTACAGTGCACTATCCAACAAGAGTCTAGAATTAAAGACAACAAGAAAACCAGATTTTCAGTTCTGATCTGGATCTTAATTTCATTCTTCTGCATTTGCATTCAACTGTGCGATTTCCAGCCTTCATTATGGCTTTATGCACATGATTTCTCCTTCACCTGCCCCTCCTTGGATGGAAGATAATTAAAGTGTCTAATAATTTGACAAAGAATAAGCTACACCCTCCAGCAGCAACACACGTGACTGCCCTTGGCCAGACAGCAGTTAACCAATGTCACCAACAGAGACACACAGATTTAGGCAAAAGTCAAGCCCTGGAAAGTGAAGTTTTGATCCACATTTGCCTTTACTTTTACACCTTAGTTTAGGGGCAGAGGAAGAACAGCAAAAACCAGCAACAGAATAGCAATAAACAAGTTCCCAGAGCCACAGTTCTCCAGTTCCCCTTTATTCTCCTTAAGCAACTCAAACTGTAGAGCAAAGAGTGCAGGATGATGCAGGACTCTGGGAAGGTGAGAACACTGCACACCCTGAACCTCAGGGACACAATTTAAGTAGCCCCTGGCAGCAAACCCAGAATCCCACCAACATTCCAAGGTGCAGTAGGAATCACACCAGGAATTTACAGGGGGCTCTCCTTTGTCCCTTGCTTCTTTCCTACAGAGCCCTCACATTTTGTGGGGATTTTTTGCAGTGTGAGCTTCTCCACTGAGCTGACAGTTCACTGAATTATCAGCTGTTAATTCCAAAAGCTCTTTTCAGAGCATTATGTTGGGCCTGGCAGGCATTATTTTACATTCTATCTATACTGATTTTTGCCTGCTGTTCTACCAGTTAAGTGCTATCCAGAGACCCTGCTGCAACTTTTCCTTTGTCCCCACAGACTTTAAAAGTGCCTGGGCAAAACCAGCTTCATTCCCCATGCTCTAACTGGCTATTAAACCCTCAAAGGCATTCCATTTTATTGCACGAAAACTTAGGTTTCAACACTTCTTTTTAATATCTGGTTAGATAACACCTGATGATAAATGGATCAGGATACTGAGAGGGGATATCAGAGTCTAAAACTGAGGCAGGGAGAAGCAAAGAGGAAAAGGCTGTTTAATGTCTCTCCATCCTAAGACCCAGGAGACATCTCCACTACACACACAGGAGGAGCAAAGTTCAGAAGAAACAGAAAGAAACACAGAAACTGGTTAAGCCATGGCCCTCCTTATCAGTGGGTGCTGTGGGGGTTCAATATTTGCTCTGGCTCCCAGGAGCAGGGGCTGATTCCGGGAAGTGAGATCAGCTGAAAGCTGCTCAATCCAGAGAAATCCCCTCCAGAGCTGCAGGACCCTAGGGGATATTTGGGGGAATAGCACTGCTCTTCTGCTCTACTCTGCTGTGCCCTGAACAGCAACTGTGAGCCACTACCCCAAAATGGGAACCAAAAAGCTGAGCATTATCTCGCAGAACTGCAGCTTTTCTCATAACTGCTGGCGACACAAAGCAATCTCACTTTAGGTTTAGGAAGGAGTCATGAATTTTTGCATACACAACCCCTCATTTTATGTCTACTCTATTTACACCAGAAATTAATAGCAGGCTTTCTAGTTTGGTGGAGCTTGTAGCTTTGGAGTTTGGTTTTCCTAGAGGTTGTAACTACTTAGAGCTTTGAAATTACTTCACATTTCCTTATAAAGGACATGTGGGCTGTGCTTTGATGAAATAACTGTAGCTGGATGATATTTTACGGTACAGCTACATCGAATAATTCATTAAATCTCATGTAATTACTCCACTTCTCCCTGAGCTGCTGAGGTAGGCTAGATCTACCAGTCAGTTCATATCCCACTAGACTAAAAATGTATAAAGGCTCTTTGTGTATTAAAAAGAAGCAGCAAACAATTCAATCCTCCCCCCAAAAAATCTCCAAGCTTTCACTTTTATTCCCATCCAAAGCTAATAGAAGTTTGCTAAAACCAGACAGGCTATTGTCAAGCTCACACATTACCCGCAGTTGCAGATAAAACTTAGTGAAAGCTGTTTTGATTCCCTAAATTGAACAGTGCTTTAAGAGAGACACACCTTGTAACACTAATTTGGTACATTTGTCAGAGCTGGAAGTGTTGCCAACTGGAGTCTCTTGGGCCTAAAACCATTGCTTTTTTTGTCTCCACACCAATGTTGGGGTTTGGGGACAAGTTCTCTCCATTAGAGTCCAGAAAGGTCCCAGGAGCTGGATGTTGATAACCTCTGCGCTGCCAGTTTAACAGCACTCCATTTCTAGAGCACCAACAGCGTCACAGTCAAGATGTCCTGGCTATTGATCCTGCCTGGTGAAACACAGGCCTTTCCCTCAGAACACAAGGAGCATCCTGAACCACGGAAAGATTCACACACTTGCGGTTTTGCACAAGCCAAGTTGCTCAGGGACGTGTTGGGTCTTGCCTGAAATACCTCAGCACCATCTACAGGAAACCAAGGGCTCAGCAGCAGCCCTGGAAGTGGGGCTGGAACTGCAGGCACTGGGAAAGGCTGGTTTGAGCAAATCTCCACTGGAAAGCTGGGCTCCATCTGCAATTTAAAGTGCTCACTCCCTGTTCTCCTACAGCCAAAGGCTATGCCAGAAGTCTCTGTCAATTAAACCAGCACACTGTCACTGCCTGCATGTGAAGGTTTGCCCTTCCCAGCAGTCCTTCCTCCTCTGAAAGCAACAGACCAAATCTTTCTCTCTATCCTCTGAGGTCATTCTCACTCCTCCACACTCTCTAGGTGGCCCAAATCCCTCCTGAAATGTGGTGTCCAAAACTGGAATTCATGAAACAGGGGCTTTACAATTCCCAGCGGGGTTGGTTCTTATCTTACAGACAAGACTTTTATTTTGTGCATTCTTGTCTATCTTGCCTTTTCTGTAACCCCAAGTCACTTATGACTAACCCTCATTTCACAGAAGACCACACAGACTTTACTCCAAAGCTGCTGCCACAAAGGAATAATTTATTCAGCCTGGACTGGCAGAAAAAAATCCTATTTCTAGACCACTTCTACCTTACCAAAAAAAATATTTAATTCTATGCCTGCTTGGCAAGGTGCTTCAGCTCCTCTCAACCCATCTGATACAGGTGTAATAACCACATTTCTAATTCTCTCATAAGAAATATTAATGGAAAAACACTGCAGAACACCACCTTATCACCCAGCCAGACAATCACTCTGCTACCTACTCTTCAAGTACAGCTTTACAATAAAGCACAAGGGCACTTCATATTTTTACGAACACAAAAGTGTCAAAATCTAACTTGCACCATTTCTCTCCCTATTCACAATGCCTGAATGAGGGAGAAGCTGCCTTATTTTACACCTAGGGGGCAGTACCAAAGTGTGCCTCTCTGTGGTCAGTCTGCTCCTCCTTATCTCATGGGTCATATCAGCACAGTCCATGAGTTTGGGCTGCGTGTTGCTCCAGTCACAGCTAAATGCCACAAGATGTCACTGTGTCCCTAAAATGTTTGGAAACAGCATCAGAATTTGCCCTGTCACAAATACACAGCCCCTGGAGGAACAGAAAAATGTTAAGTTTAATATCAGAATCACAGGCTACACAAAAAGTGTCTTTAAACTTTTAGGGCATGTTTTGTGTGAGTTGTGTGGAACAATACACACCACATTCCTTCAAACAAGCCGAAATTCAGAGCTCTCCAACATAACAAGGAGCAGCTTGTCAGTTTTCTAATGTGCTTTGCAACCATTAAATTCTTTAGGCTCCCAGTGCCTTACCCTACACGGCTCTGCAATGATCCCCTTTGTCCAAGGGGAGCCACGAGCCAGGGAGGATAAAGGGGTTTGTCTGATATCATTCCATGTGCCCTAAGGAGCTCCAGCCCAATTCTCTGAATCCCTGACAAACACCCCAGTCAAGGGGCACAGCATCTTCCTCCCCACCCAAGCCTTCTGTGGCCCTTGGTCAAGGCCCTTCCCCAAAATCACATATCCTGGATGGAGGTGCCTCTCTTCCTGAGGAGCCAGTCGGCTCCTGCTCAAGTTCAACAGCAGCTCCTTTGAAATCTTTGCCAGAACCTCTGATCCTGTCAAGAAACAGCACGTTACACTTTCCATGCTGCTGAAAGTCTCAGCATCTGATCCAAGTTTGCTGTCCAGGCATGTACAGTGCAACCAAATGAAGCCAGGGCAGTGCCTGACATGCCACCAGTGCTCATGCAGCACTTTCCCCTCAGCTGCAGGTTTGCAGCACTTCTGCTGTGATATAATATCCATATTATGACACTGTTCAGTTCGACAATTCACTTGTCATGATGTGCCTCCGTGCTAAGGAAGAAAATAATAGTTCTTAAAGCTGTGACAGACATCACCAGCTTTGAGGAACCACAAGACATCAAAGGCAGACCAAGGTGATGATTAGGATAGCAGTTCTGCCAACATTTCACCTGCCTGCTAGGCTTCACATTGCTCTGCCTGGTGTAAAACCCAAATCCCAGTGAGTCAACAGCATGAGGAGGTGGATAATATCCTAAGAAACAAGGCCAGAAGGTTTCAGTGAGGAGCAGCACATACTGTGAGCTAGGAATAAAATCCCACTTACCTGTCGTATGTCTCTTTGAGATCTCTGGCCAGCTTGCACTTGGGTAGGATGTGATGAAAAGGTGACTGTGGCCCTTCTGTGGCTGTAGAAAATTTCAAAACAAGAAAGCAAACCACTGATTTCAAAGCATTTCAAATGATTCCCTCTTCCCCTACCAGTATCAGAGGGACAGAAATTGTCTCTTTTAATCTACAGTTATGCTTCAAAGCTTTTAGAATAACTAGTTACATGTCAAAATAATAACAGTGAATTATTGCCAACTTCTCCTGAACCTCAACTCAGCTAAGCACATGTAACTGTGAATTTGACAAATGATGATTTTAGATGCTTTGTTTTTATAGACGCTATTTTAATTTTTAATGCTTGCAGCAAGATGATGTATCACTGTCAGAGAGACATCACCTTAAACAGTGCATGTTATTGTAGTGCATTTTCCTGAAGCACAGTCTATAAAGACTCTGTAACTGTTTGCCAGCCGTGGTAACGACGTGTTAAGAGTGAAGCTTCCTCACGAGAAGTCTGGTGACTCAGCACACAGCATGAAAGCATGATCTAGTAATCACTGAGTGCCATGGAAAACGTGCTCTGGGTTGGGTGAAGCAGGTTCCGTGTGAGCTCCTCCATCTCAGCCTGACAGGCAGATCCAAAGGGGATGGTTCAGCGCACAGTCTGCAGGGACTGTGCTGAACTGAACTATAAGGAAAGCAAACTCACATCTCTGCATAAGGACAGTGATCTTGGATGAGGTAAAATGCAGACAAAAGCTGTGAGAATGCTGAAGAGCACCACAACTTGTCCGTGCCGATCCTGGCCGCAAAAGTGAGGCGGCACAGTTAGCACTGCTCCGAAGAAGGTGCTCCTGGACAAAGAGATTCCTGCCCAAAGCTCGGCACTCACTTTCTGACATGGCAGACACCTCGTCCTGGATGGCCAGGATGAGCTTGGCCTCCCTGGTGAGGTACTGGCAGCGGCGCTCCTCGTGCTGCAGGACGATGGCGATCCTGCGCGACAGGTTGTGCAGGCAGTTTATCACCGACGGGTCCGCGTTGGCCTGCAGGGAACGGGACAGGCACTGAGACACAGCCACGGCCCTACAGGGATGGAGAAGTACTCAACGAGCTCCCACCCAGACCAAAAGTCAGCCTCTTTGGCTGCTGGCAAAAAAAAATAAATTTTCCCCAGCAGCAACCGAGCTGGAGCTCAGAGAGGACCAAGTGTGATGGGAAGGCTCATGGATTCCTGAGCTTGTCTGTGTGCATCAAGTGAGCACCACACCTGGAGCATCATACTCCTATCTGGTTCATTTTTCCAGTTGTTAGTGGGCCTTCTGCTAGTAGAGAGCAAAGGACTCGATTTCACACAGTGAGAAAAGAAAGTGTGTGCCATTTGAAAGGCAGAATATCCCCATATCCAGGTTAAACTCACTGGGACCACGAGGGCTGCAGTGCCTTTAACACAGCCGACGTGTTGCTACTCTGATGCTTATCCTGTGTTTACCCTGTGGACTGACAAGGCAATAACTAAGTTAGAATTACCAGCACGTGACCAACAAATTTCCTCCCAAATCCAAATGGATTTGGATTTACACTCCCAAACATTTCACAAATATGGCTTGTTATTCCCACGGCATTCGTGCGAGTCCCTGGAAAAATCTATCATGTAAGTACAGCTGCCAAGGGGGTGAGGGGGGGCAATGGTGGCTCCAGCATGAGTCAGCAGCTGCCTCATGTTTGTTAAGACATTTAAAGGAATTTAAACTTCTGGCAAATGATCCCCTGGCATGTAAACTAGCAAACCATGACTCATCACTTTTTTGATTCCACTGTTCTTGCTGAGTCACGACACGTTGGTAACCCTGAAGCTCAAACACGGCAGGGTCAGTGCTGATTATGGCACTTGGGTCTTTGCCTGCTCTGTCTGCCCCCTGCAGATGGACACTCTTCTTTATCTCAGAGAGCCCCCACCCACCCTCTGGGCTGCACTACTCCGTCCTAGCAAAAAAATTCCCCTGTGCTTCTTGCACAGAACCTTCCAGAAACTCGACTGCTCTCTGTGGACTAAGAGTGTCTCACTTGGCACAGGGATTTAGTGGTGCCTCACACGCACAGTGACATCAGTGTCATCACACAGCTGAAGGGCACAAAAAAAAAAAAAAAAAAAAAAAAAAAAAAAGGCAAGTTTTCCTAGAACCACTAGAAATTAGATGCTGGAAAAATGTGAGCTAGATAAAGTCTTCACTGCGCTTCACCCAGCTCTTGGGAATGAAAGAGCATTGTTTTCTGCTGCCACATGGCTCAGTGTGCACCAGTGTTTGTGTCTGCACGTGCATCTCAACACACCTCCCTGCAGCCAAAGCATGGGGCTTCATCCACGCACCCAGAACATCATCTCTGCACGTGTGAAATGTAAAACCAACTCCTGAACTGCAAATTCAGCACTTCCTGACCTAAGGGTGTCCCAAAGCAGAGCTCAGGGAATGATTTCCTGCTTATTTAGACTGATTGCTGGGATAATTGCCTTGTGTGGAACCTGCTCCTCAGCTGAGGGCAAGGCATTGGGCTGGGGCCATGTCCAGGTTATTCACCACTGGAAAGCCAGGGGTATAAAAGGTAATAGTGCTAAGAGGGGGAAAAAAAAAGAAGGTCCTTCCACAAGAAAGGAGCTGGAGGCTTTTAAATCATGACATTATATCCAGCTGAGCAAAAATCAACCATTTCCATAAAGACAGCTATTCCAGCTCCCTCTTTTATTTTTAAACAACCAGTGGGCTGGGAAGAGAAAGCCAGAGCTCAGAAATCAAATAATACTCAAACATAATGAAATTTCTAGGGCTTTATACCACCTAATGGCCGTGCCAGGATCCCTCAACACCAACGTTTAGTCAACAGAGTAGGCCTGAAAAAAAGTCTCCAAGCAGAAACGACGCATTTGTTCCAGGTTTCTGCAGAGCATCAAACCCTCTTTATTCCTCACTTGCACCTTCTTCTCATTTAGCTGCTCAGCTGCTGCTCCCTGGCACTCTCCCTTTACAGTGATCTCACTGCTGAGGGGAGGCAGCTTTCAAACTCTGCCCATGAATTATAAAACAAGGCTGGAGGCACCGAGCAAAGGCACGTGTCTCTGTGTCACACAGCGTCAGTAAGGGCTCCAAACAGTGCCCAGAGCGGGCTCCTGACTCTGCAGGGAGCAACTTGGGGGTGCCCAAGGCTGTGGTGGGGGGCTGACTCCCCAGGCTGGCCAGGCACGAGCCACTGCCCCTGGAGCAGAACCAACCCCCCAGGTGTGAGCTGCACAGTCACAGGGCTCAGCATCCTGTGCTGAGCAGCTCCTGGACACGAGCAGAGCACTCAGAGAGCAGCCCCTGACACCCAGGTCAGGCCCAGGCTGCCCTCTTTTACAGTTTAGTGGGACAGGGCTCACCTGCAGGGTCCACCAAAACCATAGCAGACTGCAGCTCACTCGTGACAGAAGACAAGACACACACAGGGCTGGCAGCTGGATCCATATCTGTTCTGCAAAGTGCTTTCCTGCCTTTGCACTCTGGGTATTTGAAACCAAAATCTCTGGAAAATGTCCTGAAGCAAACAACTGAAATTGTTTTCCACCGGGCTGGAAAATTTCACAGTTCTCAAGTGTCATATTCAACGTGTTTAGGTTTTGTTGTTTCAAATTAAAATATCCCAGTAAAATCAGGAACTGAATGTTTTGCAAGAGGTGGCTGGAATGTGAGCCCACTGCACTCTGTCATACATCTGAGGCACATCACATTGCCAGATGGAATGAAAACAGCCCTTACCCTTAGTGCAAACACCACGTTGAACAGAATCATAGTGGGCATCTCTCTCTTTGGTGAGGGATCAGTTTTGGACACCTGAAAAACATTTTTTAAAAAATCCCACAGGCTAGTGTCAGCTGGAGCAGTAACAAAGGGAAAGAAATTAAACAGCATAAAAGCCTTATATATACAACAAGTTTGCTAAGAGAGCACACAAATCAAATGATATCATCAAATTTGACTTGTAAAAAATAAAACTATGACTTTTATTTATTATTAAAGTGTCACAGTTACTCTACAACACTGCCTTTTGCAGAGCAGCTGTGAAGACTTTAGACCAAAGCATTTTGGTCATGACAATGGAAACTGGTAAGACAGCAGTCTTATTTGGTGTCTTTGCTAGTGCATTTTAGCATCATAAGGGTCATCCTTGGCACAGTTGTCATATACAGACATACAGAGAAGTCCACAGGATTTCTCATCCCAGGCCACACCTATTCTTTCCTTTCCTAAAATCCCCCATTCAAATTGCATCCTGTAACAAGCTGTTGCTTTTATCAGACAAAATACGCTCTAAAACACCGGTGCTAAAATAAAAGGTTTGATTTTCCCTTCCTGCAGGATTTCAAAGACATTCTCCAGCCCCTCTCTTCTCTCTGCAGCACAGAGCTCCATCCCTAAGGCAGGCTCAGACTTCCTGGAGAGGAGGAACAGTGGGAGCCAAGACCAGCAGGTGGAATTTGTACATCCAGAGCAAGGACAAGCGTCGCCACAAGATGGAGCACAAAATGCAGAGGACATTCCTGCCTGCCCTGAAACTCCCTGCTGAACCCAATCCCACACAGCTGCAACCTGCCAGGACAAATTCCCAACTAACCTAAGGGTCAATCCCAACCTAAGGGTAGCACCTGAGCTGGGGCAAAAGCAGAGCAGCTGGTCAAGGCACAGCTGCACCCACCCTTCCCCACAGATCCCCAGCACCAGCTGGGAACTGCTCAGTCCATCTCTGAAGTCTCAAAGATAAGAAAAACTAAGAGGTGATACATATTTTTGTTTGTTTGTTTGTTTGTTTTCTAAAGTGAAAATATTATTGTATCAAAGAGGCAGTGACGGGTGGTAAAGCCACTCTGCTGTGTTTTATTTGTTCTGCAGTTACAGCTTCCAGGATTTCTTGTGAGTTTCAGGAAAGACTCAAAAGCATTTCCAAGTGTAAGGACTGATCCTGTTCCTTCCTTAAAAATGAAGGAAACTACCAGCACCAACATCAATTGGGATGCAGGCTGGATTTCATATCACCTCCTGTCCAGAAAAAAAACCAAAACAAACCAAAAACAAACCAAAAACAAAAGAAGAAAAGACTAAGTTTGAAAACAAAATGCTGAAGGAATTTGAAGAATTCAAAACATTGCTACATAAAAGGCAGTCTGGCACACAGGAGGAGGTATTTGTGCTCTTGTAACTTCTGAATCTCATCTGAGTAAGAATTTGCTGAGCTGTCCCATGGATTAAAACTCTGAGGAAACCCAAAGCAGAGGCTGCCAAGTCCCAGTGTCCCAGTGCTCCTGCCTGTGTTCCATGGGAAAGGACCTCCATCCAGCTTCCTCCTGACTGCAGGAGGGTCCCAGATTTAGGCTGAGGTGAACTAGCAGAGATGGCTGCCAGGTCTAGAAGATTCTGGACTCTAGAAAGTTCTGGGGTGCTCCAGGGCTGATAAGACACACCCAAAAAGAAGATCCTACAAGAAGTAACTAAAAAGTGTTTACAGCACTTTATAACTTTGTTTATTTGCCCTAATTTAATTTACTTAGATAAACTGAAATGAAGTGACATTTCACACAACGAGGAGAAAACTGACTGGAGAGTGGAATGTATAATAAGTGATGAAAAAATGCAGATATGAATTTTCAACCTCATTTATACCACATTTAGGAAGTTGTGCCTTTCAGACGAGATTAGTAAAATAAAGGAAACTCATCTGAGGGAGAACAGGCCACTGCTGTCAGGGCCATGGGGGCAACAAAAGGTCTTCATGGCCTTGACCAGCCCCAGCTGGGTCCCCACACGCAAACCCCCAGTCCATGACCTGGGAGCCGCATTTAAGCTCAGCCCAGGGCCCAGAGGTGTACTTGTCTCCTGGATGGAGCCTGGATCTGCTGGATGTGCTGTCTCCTGGATGGTTCAGCACTGCAGCCCTGTCCTCCAGCTCTGTCTTCCAGCCCTGTCTCCTTCTGCCCCTGGCTGGGGTCCCTGCACAGACCCCGGGCCTGGTTCATCACTTGCTTGTCTGATGGACTTGCACACCTTGAGCACACTTGAATTCTGTCTTCCAAGACTGTTTAAACTTTTCAGGGCTTAGTCTTGGTGATCCTCCATCACATTTCCTGTGGATTCACAACTGAGCTTTGAAGTGGAACACTTGCATCTTCTGAGGCTTCAGGCCAGCTCCTTGCTGGGACTAAAGCAGCCTGGTCCTCTAAATATCAAGAAGCAGTTACTAACAATCTGTTTCTACCTCTAATTATAGCTAGAAAGCATGGCAGAATTGGCAAGCAGATTTTTTTTTTCCCTGAAAAAAGGAATGACTTAGCAAATTCGATGAAAAATGAGACCAAAGCAGTTCAGTGACAGAGATCAGTGCTGGATTCAGAAATTACCAAAGCCCAACTCATTTTTACAGTTGATCAGGTAGAAGGAACAGGACAGGGGATATCTGGCACACAGAATAGTGTCAATTCTTTCCTGGATCTAGGCAGGACCTTTTTAATAGCCTAGGTGGCAAACTGCTTTCATTCCAAGCAGCTAAAACACAGGCCACAGAGCAAATGCAAACAGTCTCAATGCAAACAACAGCCTGACCTGGTCCACAAGAAAATTTTAGACCTCGAATTTCAACATCCTACATATTCCACCTGAGTCTTGTGGATCATCTTCAGGACGAGTTAAAAGCCAAAACAAGGCTGATGCAGCTTTTAGCATTTGTAAAGGTTTTGGGTGGTGGTTTTTTTTAACTGCCATATTAATTAGAGGTGCTGAAAAGCTAACTTGTGGTGACTAAAATAGTTAGAAACAGCTTTTTTGAGCTGGACTGCTTAGTATTACTTCCCTTTACCCAGAGTGTTTTCCACAGTAACCAGAAGAGGGTTTCTGTGGTCACTGACACAGCCCCCCCCGTTGGCCGCTCACCATATCTGGGAGTGAGTAAAAGACAGCTTGGAACACCAGGAAGTAAAAACAGGATCAAAATCCAGACAGGCACGTTCTGAATCCCAAGTTTCCTCACTAAAGCCAGGCAGTTTGTGAGGAGGGAAGGTCCCCAGAAGGGGGCTCACACCGTACCTGCCCGAGGGCGTGCTGGAGCAAGGTGGGATGGCCAACGAAGCGAACATTATCGATCTTCAGCTCGAACTTTTTGCCACACATGTCTGACTTGGTAGCCAAAATTGTTGCCAGGATGACATCTGAAAACCTTGAAGAGCGGAAATAAAAGTTATTACAGCTTTCAAATAGCACAACCCCAGAACACTCCTCCAAATACTGATATGTTTAACTCAGAAGTTTATAAGGTGTTGTAAATTGTAAGTAAATTGCTGTGCCTGGAGTACCACCAATTAAGTAAAATTAAGGACCCCTAAATTACATCTCTCAGATCATCACAATTATAAAACAGGAAGCATTCACGACAAAGACTGCAGGGTCATGCTTATTTAATTACATGCTTGGCAAAATACATTGGAAAGATTAGAGGCAGTTTGCTTAAATATAAAAACAGCTGGAGTTAGCCATTGCCTGGATTTAGCTGCAGGTTAATGAACTTACTAAGCAACTACATATTGACACAGCCTGTCACTCAAGCACAATAGAGATCTTAAAAGCCACCCAGTATGGCAGAGGGGAGGGCAAGAAAGAGCTGATTCAATTAGAGAAAACACACAGCCAACACTTGTCCTTCCTTTCCCCAAGCTCATCAGTGAGACCCCCAAGTTTCTCACTCCACAGGTGACCTGTGATCAGCAGACCTGGCCTGGCCTCACCTGGGCCTTCTCATTTGATAATTCAAATTCATGGCAGGGCAGGCCCTTCCCACCGCCAACCATGGTGTTTCTGGACCAGTGGTGGCAAGAAGGGAAGTTATCTACAAGGAGTCTGCCCTGGAAAACACAGCTACTGCTGCAAAAATGGGCAAGAACCTCTGCAATTGCTCTTCCTGAGTGTCTCACAACACTGGACTGGTCTCTACACATGCTCATTTTCCTCAGGGTGTGAGACAGTGAGGGCTCAAATCCAGAGGGAAGAGAACCTCAGCTGCTGGAGTAAAACTGTTGCTCTATATAACAGGAGCAGTGCAAGGCTTCTTATTAACAAGCTCTTTCCTCAGAGGTTCCCATTTTAACCAAATGAATTTCAAAGCAGTTTCTGACGAGAGTCGTTTTTTTTTTAAGAATGAAAATGTTTATTTCATCTCCTTTATTTACGTTCAGGGATGTGTGCCCCTGGCAGACCATCCCCCTCCAGCAGGCAGGTATCCCAGATAACCCAGTATCACTCAGAGAAGAGGGCAGGCCTGGGTGTGTGCTGCAATCACCTTATCTCTTGGCCACAAGTGAGCCCTCAATGCCCAGAGAAGGAATTAATGCACCATATTCCTGCTTCTCTCTGAGTTATGGAGTACTGCAGAAATTAAGACAAATGCACACAGCCAGGTCTTTAGTGGGACCCAGGGGAAATTTCTTTTATTAGGCCTACAAGTACTGGAGATGAAGGACCACACAGGGGCTTTATAAACTGTCAGAGCCTCTGGTGTTTGCACAAACAGCTCCCCCTGACCACAGCACGCTGCTCACGTTTGGTTTATGGAAGGAGCAGCTGTGTGCAAACTTCCAAATCCCTGCCTGCCCTGCTCCAAACTCCAAGCCAAGGGCAAGAAGAGACATGGGGAGACCGGTCAGAGACTCCAGAGCCCACACTCCTCAGCCACTGCCCTGGGCTGCACAGCTCAGGAAGTTTGGGAATAAAGGGCAGGACCTGGACTGACATTCCCTGGAGATCCCATTCAAAATAGGAAAAAAATCCCCATGACAGCAGCGAGTTTTTCCTCCTCTTTTTGCCCCGCTCAGCTGTTAAAATAGGCTTGTCATGGAGCCAGGAAGATGATAATAACGTGGATCCAAAATCAGCATATGTTTGGGGGGTGAAGGGAGAAGGAGGGCAAACTAGAAAATGTCAGCTTGCTGCTAAGAAATGAGTTCCCCTTCCCTCTTCCAGCCTTGGCAAAGGATACCTTGGGAGCTGGAAAACTGATCACTGTGATGACTTTCACAAGGAATTACACCAGCAGATCTTCTAACAGACAAACGTGGTGCTGAAGGGAAGAGCTCAGCAGTTCCCCAGCAGAGCTCACGACACCACAGCCCTGCCTGCCCCCACCTTGTACAGGACTCTGTGGGGAGGGAGGGGATTAAAAGGGTGATTTTGGCAAGTCTTCAGCATCTTCTCACTAGCAGGGACTTCCCTGTCTGGGAGAGTGCTGGATGACACATTCAGGACAGATAACTCTGGGAGAGGTGCTCCCTGATGGGTACAGACACCTGGGATCACCGCTGGCTCTCTCAAGAGTCACCTGCACTCCAGCCCCATTCTCCTCCTCTGACAGCCTGGATTTATTGGTTTGGCTGGTTTTGGTTTTTTTTCCCCCAATGCTCTACATAATTTAGACATTTCTCAGGCCTCAGGACAATAGGGAGATTGAGAGACAGCAGATGTGTTGTTCCCATCAATTCATTGTCTCGTCTTAGAAAATAACACTTTAAATACTTTAAGACTCATTTTCCAATCTCTGGAGTTTATTAAAATGGCCTAAAAATACTGACTTATCAGAGCCCAGGAGTTTGTTAGAAGCAGATTGGGCAGTAACAGTCCCTTCTCCTTTTATGAGATTAGTCTGAGCATTGTGAATTCCAGAGGGAAGCAAACTTCTCTTGTACTAAGGAATTCAGCAGGCAGAAAGTAAATACAATAAACAAAAGCTCTGCTTTGCCCAAAATATCCTACCACTCCTATCACGAGCTCTACACAGCAACAGCAAATGGAAAAGGAGGTGGGGGGGGAAATAACCTCAAACACAAATTCATTTTTTCCCCCAAGAACGGATAATAACTTTTTCTGTGCCGCAGGAATTCAAAGCAAGGTTTTTATGAAGAATTCTTCTTTGGAGGAGTTTAGGACTGGACATGAGTATCCAGGTGAGGTTTATGTTAAGCAAGGACTGGAGATGCATTTTTGACTTCTGGGACCCCTGGGTGGTTAAGCACTTTTACCTCACATCCCATTTAGCTTAGTGGGGCACCAAGAGCAAGCAACCAGCACAGCTGCTCAAACCCAGGTCTCTGAAGAGCTCTCCATCATTAATTACTCTGGGATTAAATAGTTTGCTCAGCGATCTGCACTTTTAAATCATTGCTTCTCAGAAAGTAATTTGGTTTAGGGCTCCTTGCTGGAATGACTACAATGCCAAGGCTTTATTTGCTGCATTCTCACAGCTCTTCCCAGTTCATGGAAGGGACAGTACCACACCCATCCTGGATATTCCCTACAGGAAGCACAGAAATGTTAGTAGGACCTTTGTAATTATCCTGGCACAAACCTTTAGGAATACATTTCCTACAGACACTGTGATTTAGCATGTAATTATCTCATCATTCGGTGTAAAACAGAAACCAGAAACAAAGCACAATTAAAAGGATGGTGAGAAAGGAAAGCCATTCTAGACAAAGGTGATTGTTTAGAACGTTTGGTCTTACCCCGAAACCAATTGCTCATCAGTTAGAGGACATTGGTCTCTGAAATGGGAACATGGCCATAAACACAAAACAAAACACAACAAAAGAAAATAAACGAGGCAAGTACACAAAATACAAAAGAAAAAAAAAGATAATATTAAAAACTAGGATGAACTATTAAGGGTTAAACTCCTGTAAAGGAAATATAATTGTTGAGAAGAGTCAAAAGTTAATGGAAGGTGAATTCCAGGGGTATATTGCAGGCTTAGGTTGACAACACGGAGAAAACAAGCTAAGCCAATGAAGTCCTTGCTGCTGCAACGTGTTTTCCCACAAAACACTGCATTTATGGAGCTGGATTTGAACCACCCTTTTTAATTCATGCTTACCTTAAGAGAAACAGGAGAGGCTGCAGCCTGATTTAGAGCAGATCCTACACCTCAGTTTATTCCTGTGATTTTCCCCAAAGACATCCCATGCAGCCCCAGACGACCCACAGCTTTTCCCAACTCGTTCTGGTGCTTCCATAACCCACAAGACTTAGGAAAAGAGGATGGCCAGTGTTTATTGTTGCAGGGTTTTGTAAAGGCCCACAGAACCACTGCTGCTCCCCCAGGGATCCACACAGCAGGTCCAAGTCTGGCCACACTTGCAGGATAGGTGAAGTCATTGTCTGTCTGCCCCAGGCAATAAGTACAAACTTAGAGAGGAGAAGTTTTCAAGGCAAAGAATCCAAAACCTTTCCATCTAGCAGGTGTACAGAGCAGGGCTCTGTAAGCAGCTGTGCTCACTTTTGTATCAGAAACACCTGTTTCCATTTAAAGTCAACAGCTCCACACCCCCCCCCCATTAACAAAAGGACTTGCTTCCTGAAACAAATGTCCTAAATATACTGAAAAATTAATCTGATAAAAGCCTTATACTGTCCACATTAAAAAGGGGAGATACAATGAAAACCTCCAACATTTACTTAATACAGAACACAGCAGATTTCTGCTGGTCGTGCTGAAGAGAGAACTCAGAGAACCTAAATGACAACCTACACAAAGGGGGTGATATTACAGGAAGGGGGTTTCAAGGGATGGGTGGATGAATGGAAAAGCACAGGCTGACAGAAAGGAAGCCTTTCAGAACAAATACAAGGAAGAACACTGGAGTCCAGTGAAAGAGGGACAGAGGAGACAGAAATGTTATCACAGGAGAACTACTGTTTGTTAGAAAGGGACAGTCAAATCCTTGTTTGTCACTAACTTGGGTTTTTTATAACAGAAGCGTGTGGCCAATTAATGACATCAGTGCTGCCAAATTTGCTGAACCTCCTCCAGTCAGTCAGTTATGCCACTAAAAATGCAGAGTCTGGTGTAACATATGTTACTATACGTGCCTCTTCCTCGGAATTTTTGCTTGCTGACTACACCACCTTTGGAAAAGCTACAAAACCCCATTTCAAACCAATTTAATAAAGCATTATCTTACGGCTTCAAAAGGAGTCATTGCCTCACATTTTTTTCAGGGGAAAAAAAAAAAAAAAGGCTGGCAGGCATCTCCATAAGCTGAGGTGGGGGGAAATGTATTCCTGGAAAAGCACTCAGAAAACTGAAGGATGTTTTTAAAAAGAGCAAATGATGAAAGGCTGAGAAGGAGCCAACAAAGAGAGACACTTGACAGGAAATTTGTTTTGACAGTAACAGTCTTCTGAATACCTTTTTGTTGCATGGCCACCATCCACACACCTCAACCACTTTTGCTGCTCAACTTGCTTTTAACAGGAAGTAAAATCTATACTCTGAAGGCCCAGTACAGCTCCATTGGCAGAAATTAATATAAACAAACACACCCCAGTAACCTGGAGGGAGGTTTATCATGAACAGGCTGCCACTGTCTATAAAAAAAAATTAAAAAGCATAACAATGACCAGGAAATTGAGACTGGAGGCTTAAAGAAATCCAATTATGTGTACAAATATGTCATATGGAAATGGAGTTAAGGCACGTAAACTGATCTAATTCTGTCCTTTCTGAGGCCCTAAAGAAATATATACACCTCAACTGCTGCAGGAAAGGTCAGCTCACAATTAACTGATCTGGGTTCCAGTAGCTTGGGGAAAAAGCAATAGCAAACCTTACCCAGGACACAATTAGTGCTAGATTGCTCAAAAATTAAATACAGCCATTCAGTATAAAAAAGGATTAATCCAGACTTCATAAGAACTATTGCAGCTACAAGATAAATCTGAAACAACATTTGCTACTCAACATGAAAACGTGAGAAAGACCCAACCCTACAAACATTATCCATCTTGCCATATCCCACCAACTCAACCTACCAGTCTGCCCACTCCACAGCCTCAGTTTGTGCCACCAAAACCATCCACAGATGCTACTGACATGCAGGGATTTAAAGGAATCTTCTCCCAACTCTTCCTTCTGGAAACAATACAAAACTCCTTTCCTTTCCTAGTTTACAAATCAAATGCACCTCACTCTCCACGGGGGATCTGCACCTTCTTGCCTCCACTGTCCCCTCAGATTCTCTTCTACTACATGGCACCAACTTCTGTCCCTCCTAAAATGGCCTGACACAAATCAAACTCTGAGCAATCCGTTGCACACAGTTTTGAAGAAGCATCTGTGTACCTAAAACGTGAATATTTTTTCCACCTGTATCAGTCAGTGAAAGATATTGTTTGCCTACAAACCTTCTCTTGTCTAATACAAATTACAGCTTCTCAATAAACAAACTGGAAACAAACAGGACTGTGCAAGAGCCTTTGAATTTTGGAAAGCAGGTGCCCAGCCATGTAAGCAGCACAAGTTGTGTGCTGGACCCCTCTAGGAGAACCAACATTTTCAGAGCAACAGAAATGCTGCTCCTCTTCTATTTCCCCTTCATGTGCATGGCAGATGCAGACAGATCCAAATAAATTCTTTTCAACACTGAAAGTTTACTAACAAATACCTGACCAGGAGATTAAGTACAAACTCTCAAGCCCAGGGTCCTGGACAATGAAATAATCTCAATGAAATAATCTATTTGTATTTGATTAACACAGGTTGTGTGCCAGCACATTCACTCTATTTAAAACCAGTTTCAGGAAAACAGTGGCAGTTTTCTCATCATTTGAAGCAATAAAAGCTTTTCCTACATCACTGCAGTAACCACATATTGTATCCCACTAATTCAGCAACACAGGCAACATCCAACAAACAGCTACATATGAAGTGCCTGGTCCAACCTGCCAAAATGGCAGAGGCCACAAGAATCAGTACCAGACAGAAGTTGGCATCATTCCAACACCGTCCTAATCTGTTTCAGGGAAATACCAGAGCCAGGGGTTCAAACAGCAACCAACAAAATCCCTGGGATAAGCAGTGCACTGAGCCTTCCTGCCACCCACAGCCCAGGGTGAAACCCCACTCACCAGCTACCAAATGTGCTCCCACTGGAGCTGTGCCCTGTTTGTACTGCACTCACTGGGCAGGCACCAGAAAACACAGGCTGTGTTTGAAGGTTTCAAAGGCACCAGAAAAGGCAGGAGATACAAATGACCTCAAGCAAAATGTGTTTTTGTAAGATCCCAGTCCTGGAAAATCAAATGTATTGATGATGCTTATTGTCTGTCATAGGTGATTCTAATTTCAGCTACACCATCCTCAGCCATAAACTTAAGAACAAGCTTACATTCCTTCTTGGGGAAAAGTGATGATTACTCCTTTTGTACTCTGAGTGAAGATCAGCAACTACCCCTTTTTATTAATCTTGGAGATTAAAACACGAATCACAAAAAAGATCTGCAACTGAACTCTGGGCCAACAGACAAAACAACCCTTTTCCTCTCCCAGATTTATCTCATATCTAGTAGTGATAAATTCAGAACTATGCAGCAGATTTCAAATGTTCTACCAAAAACTAATTAGAGGGTCCATCCATATGTACACACACCACGCTGCCTACTTCCAGTGCAAATGTTACCCAGTGATTTCCTGTAATTAAAAAACCATCTTTAAGTCTCAGTTTCCTTTTTACTATGGCACTGACACAACGGCAGCTATATCTGGAGGAACAAAATTAGTTATTCATTAGTGCACAGCAATTCCATACAACAATTACACAAGCTAGGGAAGAATTTGAGGCAACTGAATAACGTGTCCAGTTAGAGGTAGGCAGGTAAAGAAAAGTGGAATTTTGCCAAAGGATTAATACCCCTGGTTCTGAAAGGATAGCACTGCCTTTCTAACAAGCACAAAATACCTGACCTATACCTTGTCCTGAAAACAACAGGTTCAGTAGCATTCCCTCATGAGACTCATTACTAAGCACCAGGGTGCTCATAACTTGGTGTTAAAGCATTTTTTGGCAGGTTGTCTTCTACACAGTCAGAGAGGATGTGCCTAGAAACCAGGAGGCAAGAGGGCAGGAGGCCACCTCTGCTCTGTTTCAAACTCTTAGGCAAGGAGAAACGTTTTCCCCCTACCTGGAGTCCCCATCTTGATCTTCTGTGGTGTCACCAGAGCCATTCACAGCGTATCGACTCCTTGGTTTGTCTGAAGCAAAAGATAAAGACAAGTTTATCAAGGAAATATCACCTTAAAACACTCGAAAACACATCAAAAAAATAGGAGAAACAGGTTTTTTACTCTTCAGGGGATGAAGAGGAGAAAGTAAAACATTTACAGAAATTGACACAAGCACCAGTTTGCAGATCGAGAGACCGGAAAGTGGAATTCTGACCACTGTATTTCCCTCATTATTGCCCAGGTTTTGGGACAATAGTAATGTCACACAAGTGCAGCCACAGGAAAGGAAATCCTTTACCATCAAAAAGCAGGAGCAGAGTGGGGGGGAAGCAGTCAGCCAAAAAAAAAAAATCTTTTCAGATTTTACCTATAAAAATGAAAAGGGATTTAAAGATGATTCTCTCCTGGTAAAAAGTGATTCATAGCCCAAGCAGGGGTGTCAAACCTCTCATGACACACAGCAGTCAGCACAGGAGCAGAGTCAAACAGCCTCACCACTCCATAGCACCTTTAGGCCCCACACTGACACTGATCCAAGTCCAACCCCAGGCACTGTCCTGGATCAGGAGCCTTGGAGGAAGAGATACAACCAGTGCTGGCACCCAAACAGTTCCATGGTCCTGTTTTTCTGGAGAAATTAAACCTCCTCCAGTCCATTATTCAACACCAGGGACTACAGTTAAACAGCTTCTACCCATTACTGGTTAAAGCTCGAGGTGTCTTCTGAACCCTCTCTCCCTAATAAGTGCCTTCACTTCTCATCCTGCCTCCTCCTTCCCCTGCAGCTCCCAAACCCCAAGGATTCATCCACCCCAGGCACAGCAGCAAGGCCCAGGGTCAGTAATAACACCTGGCACTGATGTAGCTCAGTAACTGTGGGGTGTGAGGGGTGCCTGGGAACCTGGAGGTGTTTGAGGGGTACCAGACGCCCAGGAGGGGTTGCGAGGAGTCTCAGGGCATTCTTGGGGGTATGAGGGGTGTCTGAGGGGTGCCAGGCCCCATGGAGGGTGGGGGAGTGAGGGATGCCAGGTCCTTATGGACAGTGTGCGGGGTGTCAGAAACACACAGATGGTGTGAGGGTTTTTTTGGGGGGTGGTACCAGGTACACACAGCTCCCCATGGAGGGTGGCTATGTGAGGGGTTCCAGGTACCCACAGGCAGTGTGAGGGATGCCAATTCCCTGTAGACAGTGTGAGGGGGGGGGTGTGGGGTGTCAGGAACCCACAGACAGTGTGAGGTGTGAGGGGTGCCAGGTACACAGCGACGGTCTGAGGGGTTTGGGGCAGGGGGGGCGGGCAGGTACACACAGACCCCCATGGAGGGTGGGTATGAGAGAGTGCCAGGTCCCCACGGCCAGTCTGAGGGCCGTGGGAGGGATGCCAGGTCCCAAGAGGGCTGCGAGGGCTGCGTGTGGAGCACCACACCCCCACGGGGAGGATGCCAAGCCCCCCCCCCCCGGGGCGGCGGAGGCTCCTGCGGCCGCGGGGCAGGTGCGGCCGCACCCCCGGGCCGGTCCCCGCCGCATCGAGCACTTACTGTCCTGCGCGGCGGGGTGCTCGGCGCCGCGCTGGAACGGGAAGCGGAACAGCAGCTTGTTGCCGCGGCTGCCCGAGCTCACCAGGATCACGCTGATGGGGCTGGTGCTCTCGCCCATGCCGGCCCTGCCCGGCCCAGCCCGCAGGAAGGGCCCGGCTGCCGCGCCTTCCGCTTCCGCCGGCACGCTGGGGGAGCGGAGGGGCCGTGCGGGGCCGTGCGGGGCCGGGCCGGGCCGTGCGGGGTCTCCCGGCTGCGGGCACAGCGCTGCCGCACTCAGCGCCTCACGGCCCCGGGCGGCCCGAGCGCTTCGTACCCACAGGGCCGACCCCCGGCACAGCCCAGCGCCCCCAGTTCAGACCAGTGCCCCCAGTTAGGACCTTCCCCTCACATACAGCTCCGTTCCCAGTACAGCCCAGTGGCCCCACTTTAGCCCGGTGCCCCCAGTTCAGACCAGCGCCCACAGTCCCGTTCCCAGTATAGCCCAGTGCCCCCAGGCGGGCCCAGCACCCCACATGCACATTCCCTCAATCAGCCCAGTGTCCCATGACACTGCTCCCTGTTCCGCACACCCCCAGGTCATTCCAGTGCTTCACATGCCTGCAGCCAGCGCCTTCCAGCTCATCCCAGTGCTCCCAGCATGGCCCAGCACCCCCAGTTCAGCCCCATACCCAGGCCATGGTGACCCCCAGCCCTGATCCCTCCACAGAGGCTGCCAGGTCCTGGACTGCCCCTTGTAGTTTTTCTTGGCCGCTTTGGGTCATTCGTGGCTTTTCAGCCAGTTTGGTCATGAACATCTCTGGAGCTTTACTGAGAACTGGTGGCAAAGTGCAGCAAGTGCTTGTCACCCCTTATGGATTGTCATCCTCATGGAAAAGGGTGGCCAGGCACTGGAGTTGCCCAGGGCAGTTGGTGGAATCACCAACCCTGGAAGTGTTCAAAAGAACATGTGGTTTTAAGGACATGGTTTAGTGGTGGGCTTGGCACTGCTGGGTTAATGGTTGGACTCAGAGGGCCTTTCCAGCCAGAATGATTCCATGGTACCAGGGTGCCTGTGGGAGGCTGGCTGGGGAGGTCAGACCTCTGGGCTCCTGGTGCTCATAGAAAAGCTGGATCGAGCTTGTTGCTCATGTTCACAATCTCAGGGAGCCTCACAGCTCTGCTACAACCTGCCTGGTCGTTCCTGTGCATTTACTCCTGCCTCTGGATTAGGAAGGGTCACATTACTCCCCTGGCACCCCTTGGTGCCTTCATCTTATTTTGTGTTTAACCGAGATCAGAAATTATCACCAATTGTATTAGAGGATGTCCTGGGATTTTATGCAAATTCTTCTGTATTTCATTGCATTACTAAGATATTTGACCACCCCACTGTGGATTTTGCTGTGCAGTCCCCCCAGGGACACGGGGCAGGGGTGGGTGGATGCTGAGGGAGATGAGCAGCACAGTGTAATCTGCAGGGCCATTCTCCACGAGGCCAGAGATAACAATTGAGCGAGAGGAGGTGACGCTGAGGGGACAGAGTTGTCCAGGGGTGATTAAAGAGCACTCCTATTATCGCAGCAGAGCACTCCTCAGGCAGCAGCACTGGGCAGCCACGTTAAAATTTTGCAGTGTGTCTGCCTCAAAATATAATTTCACTTTCTTAAATAATAAATTACAGACACAATTGTCATTTCCATCTCTTGGAGGTCTAGTAGTAATTAGTCTTGTAGTTCTGTTGAAACAAAGATTGCAAGTTCTTCGAGCACTGGTAGAAAATTAAAGAGTAAAGCCAGGATTTCGACTGCACTTTTAAGACTTCAAAAACTTAATATGCCTTGAATATTTCAGAGTTAGAGCAGATATATGTGCCACTTAATCCACAGCATTCTCCTTGAGGGGAAGACAGTTTCTGTAGATAATACAGGCACATGGGGAAAGTTATCCCTGATATATCTGGCATCCCAGCAATGCCATTCAAGATGTCACTGGATTTACAATCAGGGCTGACAGAAATTATAATCCCACTTTTATAATTAGCTAACAGGCCTGTTGCTCGCTTCTGCTGCTTAAAATGAGAAACTTAGGCAGCTGGCTTTTTGAACAGGATTAAAACAGACCTAAAGTAATTTAAAAAATAATCACTTTTGGTGATTTTATGACAAAGATTCACCATCTGTCCAAGAGTGGACATTCTGCCATGGGTCTCTGCATCATCACGAGAAGCAGCAGCAAGAGAGGAAGGCAGGTCTGGTGGAGTTTCCCAGAGGTCATGGTTTCAGTGTCAACCCTGTGACAGAGGAACACCAACAGTCATGTTGTCCACTCCTTTGTGTTGCTGTGGCCAGGACCCCCCTGTCTCACTGCCCCAGCTGGAGCACTGGGATGAGGAACTTGGCTGAGAGGGCCCATGCAGAGCCAGAGACAGTCACTGTCCACAGCATGTTGTGTTAACATAGCTGAGGGTCGTGCTTTTCCCTCCAGGCACGCTCCTGAGGAGTTTCCACGACCATTCCCAGCACAGCCCTGATCCTGGGGGAGCAATGAGCTCCTTCTAGCAAACCACTCCTGCCTTTTGGCTGCTCTGGTTTTTGTGATAGTGCAAGAGTAACTTTCAGAAAAAGAATTCAAATTCCACAGTGATTTCAGTGATGATGACTCCTCCTGTGCAGACATCACTTTAAAGGATTGTGCCTACACAGACCTTAATCCTCCAGTCACAGAGGACCAATGTTCAGGTTACACAATGGGCTGCAAAATAGGAAAGAATCCTCAGGGTCTGTGCCTTATCCCTGTGTATATCTGGGTCACAGCATCGATTGAGTAACCCCTGATTAAAAACACTCTCGCTGAGGAGAGCTTGGAGCACAGCCATGGACACGCCATGTAAACAGGCAGCACTTTGGGGAGGAGACAAAAACATTATATAAATGGATGCTTCACAACAGCATCCTTATTTTTCAAAGTAGTCTTTCTATGGGAAAACTGCAAGTTCTGGAAACGTGTGTGGCAAGGGATGATGAAAGCCTCCTTTGGCACTGCCATCCATTTAAGCTGTATAAACTGAATATTGTGTTGTCCTGTGCCCTGGCTGCTGCCCATGCTGCACTTTGAATTGGAGACTGCACAGCTCTGCATCTGTGTAGCCAGAGTTAGCTCCAGGTTTTCATGGCATTGTCAAAGGGAAGATACACAAAGAGCTCTCTGATAATATCCCCTATAGTAATGGGATTGTTCTCCCTTGGTCTCAGGTGAGCCCCCTCTTGTATCCCCTCTCCAAAGGAAATGCCCAGCCCATGAGCAGGAGGGCTGAGGAGGAGCTGTGGCACTGAACACAATCTGAAATTAAATCCCAGCTGAGGTGTTGGCCTCCATACAGGGGATGATAACACAAGATCACCGAACACAGCCAAGCTTGCAGACCAAGAGGCACCCAGTGCTTTGTGCCTGCCCTTCGGGGAAGGCCAAGGTTTCTCCTGATTCCTGTGACGGGCGGCATGCAGAGAGGCTTAAATTCAGAGCCCAGCACAGAGTACAAAGGTGGATAAGAGCCCTTCTGCAAGTGCTCAGGACACTGGGGACACCAGAGGATACAGAAGTTGCTATCTGACCCCATCCCTACCACTTTTCTGGTACCAGTGGTTCATTCCCACCCGATTCCAGGATGCAGTGGCAGAGCCACACTCCCAGGAAAAGCAGGGTTTGTAGTGTATGGATCGACTCCTCCAGACTATGGAGTCTGCCCAGAGAAAAGAGACCTATGACCCTGGGACAGCAGGAGAAGAAACTCCTGCCACACACACAACACAGCTGGCTCCCACCTCAAACCCAGCACCTGCCCAGCAAGCATGGCACAGCCACACCGTGGCTCCCCAGAGAGACTCCAAGGCTGTTCATGCTCCAGGTGTAACATCCCTGCTTTGGTACAGGCTGGACATGCTCCAATCCACGCCTGACCCAAGGATCATTGCATCCCTAGAAGGGCTTTCCTCTTAGCAGGCTGCCCCTGGCTGGGGATCACCTTCTGTAGCAGTGGGGTGCCATTGCCGTGAAACGCAGACACATCTTGGTGAGGAATCTGGCTGAGACACACCAACCTTCTCTGCACAAAAGTGCAGGACTATTTGGGCAGAGAACACTATCTGACCCCTCTGACTGCACCAGCCAGCTGTCCATGCAGGGCTGCCAGCACTCAGGCGTGATGTGTGAGGCTGCTGCAGTTTATCAGCATGGCAGAGAGATTTACCTCTGCTTCATGTGCTGGCAGGATATTTGCTCCCAAAGGTTCAGCAGCAACCACCTCTGGTAGGGTATTTCTTTGACACTTTGCCCACTTATCTGGGATTACAGACTTGTGCTGGTCTTCCTTTTGTTTGTTTGGTCCTTCACCCATCCAGTGTGCCCGTGCTCTGATGCCACCAACCACTTATTATGGGACCAGGCATTGCTGTGCCTGTCCAGCACTGGCTCTGGTGCTGAAGCTATTTTACAATACCAAGGGTAATGAACAGCAGGATCACACAGTTAGAAATTAAAGACATGCAATAGGAGCCATTTAGTGATGAAAACAAAAAGTCTGACTGGTCTTTCTCAACACTTTTTTTGAGGACCATACTCAGTTTCACCAACTCTCTTATCCATAGGAAACATTTCTACCACTGCTGTTATAATCCATATCCATTGCAGAGTAGGTCCCTAATTCTCTGCAAGAGACTGGCAAAGTGAAGCCCTGGCAGTGATGAAGAAAGCGGCAAAATCTCTGCTTATTCTCACAAAATCAGTGTTTCCCTGCCCCTCTGAACTATTCCACACATCTCCCAGCCTGTCTCTACCACCACCCAGGAACCATGTCACATGAAAAATTGTACCGCAGGGCAGCCACACATACTGGAAGTGTATTCTATGGCCCAGAAAGATGCAGAGTCTTGTGCTCACATCTGTGCACCAAGGGAGGAAATGCAGATTCCTCTCCAAGCTCCTTAATATGCTCCTCAGCTTACAGATGTGTCCTAACGCTTCATCAATGGAATTGTCCAGCACTATCTCTCTCTCCATGTATCAATACGTGTCCAGACAATTTCTTTGGGTCACACAGCTGTTTTGTTCCGAAGCAGGAAGCTGATAAGGCCAGCAGGAGAGGAGGGCAGTGCGCTGACCCCGGCCGAAATAGCCATCGCTCCTCGGGGAGATAAGTGTCTCCTGCTCCATGGGAGGGCCTCTGGAGTGACCAATGAGCCTGGACAGGTGCCAAGATCCACTCTCCCCTTCCCCTTTATAACCGGGGCTGCCGGGGTGGGGAGTCCAAACCTGCTCCGAGCGGTCACTGCGAGGGACAGAGCCGGCACCTCCTGCACAATGACGCTGACCCAAGCCGAGAAAGCCGCCGTGGTCACCATCTGGGCCAAGGTGGCCACCCAAGCCGATGCCATTGGGGCAGAATCACTGGAGAGGTAAGGCCCCAGCGCTCCCCCAGAGAGGGTCCCTCCCAGGGCATCGCTGTTGGGATCCATCCCAGGTAGAACCCGGGTGAGTGAGGGCAGACTGGGACCGCGGAGAGCTGATGGGGAGTTGTGTTGTTTGGAAGGTAATCATCAGGAGTTATATCTGTGCTACCAAATGCTTCAAAATCTCATGGCAAACCAGTATTTTCTAAACAATTCAATAGGCTTTTTTTCTCTTTATAGCAGTTCAGAAGAATTCATAGCCAGGAGCGCTGGGAAGGAATTCAAAGTCATTTATACTCAGTGTCCTGAAACAGCGTTATCCCCTTTAGGGGACGAGCTTGAAGTGGTTTATTGTACAAATTATGCACTTTCTCTTACCATTTCTAAAATAATAGCTATCCACTAAATTCACTGGATATTCAGATCTCATTGTTCCAGTTGATAAGTAACAAACCCCTAGGAAAAAAGACAACTGGACCCCCTGCTTGCAGCACAACAGTAATACAGGGTTCCTACCAATTAAGCAAGCTGGCACAAAAGGGATAATAGTCTGGAAATTGTTCAGAAATTCTTATCTTATTCCATGTTATTTAAATTTTATTTACAGCTCACTATAAAGTATTGTGATTCTCCTTCCAGGACTCTGAGTACCACTCACATTGACTCGAGTTTGTTCAGCTCATTTTAGTTTGAAGGTCCTGGAAATTGGGTTACAGTGTAAGAGAGGAAATTTAGGGACAATTTGGTGCTATTTTTTATTAAAAACAGACAAAAGCAAAAATACATTAAGTTTTAAATTATTTAATTCTTCTGGATCACACAGAGATTAGCCCGCTGTCCAACCTGCACATGCTGCAGGAGGGCTTTAAGAGCCGAAAGACCTTCCCAGTGCAAACTTCAAGCCCCCAAAGCTCTGTTGCACCGCTGAAGGAGCTGAAGGTCTACATTGCTCTGAGTTTTTTACCGCCATTTCCACCTGCCGAACCTCATCCTCACGTTCTCCTCCAGGCTTTTCTTCAGCTACCCCCAGACGAAAACCTACTTTCCGCACTTCGATCTCAGCCAAGGCTCGGCTCAGCTTCGTGCTCACGGCTCCAAGGTGATGAATGCCATCGGGGAAGCCGTGAAGCACGTCGATGACATTCGAGGGGCTTTGGCCAGGCTCAGCGAGCTGCACGCTTACATCCTGCGGGTGGACCCCGTCAACTTCAAGGTGAGCGAGCACGGAGACTTCCAGGGGTGGGAAGTGCCATGGTTAATTCTGAGTTAGAGATCCCAGGTCATCTGGGCTAATGGCAACTTGATCCCTGACTGCACTGAGACTGGATCTTTTAATGAAAGATCTGGCCTAGTGCAGGCAAAGAACTGCTCAGGGGACTCCTATGGTTTAGACAGGCTCGAGTCTCTGCTGCCTTTGCTGTAATTCGTGAATCTCCCTCACACCTCAATCTACATCATCTTCAACAAAGTCTTAATAAATTCTAAACATTTCCACTTTGTTACAATATCCCTTTAGTGAGGAGGGAAGGGACATTTGGAAGAGGGAGTGGGAGCAAGCAGTGCCTTTTGCCCTTTCGGCTGGGACATGTAGTTGTCATCCCAGAGCATGCTGGGCCCAAGCTCCATTTCACACCCCTAGACTAACACCTGCTACTGATTGTGATGGATTTAATCCTGTTTTTCCCTACAGCTGCTTTCCCACTGTATCCTGTGCTCCGTGGCTGCCCGCTACCCCAGTGACTTCACCCCAGAAGTTCATGCTGCGTGGGACAAGTTCCTGTCCAGTGTTTCCTCTGTCCTGACTGAGAAGTACAGATAAATGGCCTCCACAGAGAGTGAGGGAGGCTCTGGGGAATCACCCCTTCCTAGGCAGCCCTCTCAGATCCCCTCTGCAGGGGCTTGGTCATCTGCAAAACCCAATAAATAATTCAAATGTGAGCAATGGTCTCTGTGCTTTTATCTCCGTGTGCTCCACCTGCACCTGACTGTGCAGGCAGGGGTGTTCTGAAATGGCTACACAATGTGGAGGGGGAAACAGAAAACCTTGTAAATTCATGTACTAATTCACATCCTAATGAATCCATGTACTAATTCATGTGCTAAGATGTACAAACTCAGTGGGAACAAAACCTGCATTGCCATGTGTTGTGATGCTGGGCATTGTCTTCTCATGCCTCTGTCCATGGGGTATGGACATGGTGTCTAATGTGCTTTCAATGGAAGAAGAGGGAAGAAAAGAAAATAAAACAGTTGATGCAAAGGCAATCACTGCATTTCGCGGATAAACTGATGTCCAACCAGTTCCTGAGCAAAATAAGAAGGTTTACCCCACTAAAACTCCCTTAAACCCCCTCTTTTCCATTTGATTGCTGAGTGTGGGGTTATATGGTATGAAATATCTTTTGGGTTAGTTGGGCTCATCTGGTTGTCTCCCCTCCCACTACCCTAAAATCAATTATTCCCTGGGTGAGGGCAGAGTGAAAAGCAGAGACAGCCTTGATTCTATGCAAATGCTGCTCAGAAAAATCTGCAACATCAGCCTGGTACCAGGACCAGTTTGGCCAAAAATCACAGCACCAATGTGATCTCCTCTCTCATGGGACTTCTGACATGAAAAAGTGGGTGCAAAGCCTTAAGCCTGCTCTGATAGGCAGCCCGAGCTGGCACTGCAAGCAGTGATTCTTGTCTCATTCATGGAATTTTGGGACTGCGTTTGGGCAAGGGGGGAGAAGGTGGTGCAGAAGCTCTCAGGCCACCCAGTGGCTCTAAACATGTCACTCAGTGTGTGCCACAGCAGCTTTTAAAGCATTCTGCATCTGTGGGTCTTGGCTAATCTGCAGGTTTAAATCCATGACTTAGGGGGTAGTCCCTAACCCTGTGTTTGTACCAGTGCCTTTGTACAGAGGCTGAGAGAAGGATGTGGCAGTCAGAGGAAATGGCCTCAAGTTGCACCAGGGGAGTTTTAGGTTGGATATTAGGAAAAATTGCTTCATGGGAAGGGTTGTTAAGCCCTGGAACAGGCTGCCCGGGGCAGAGGTGGAGCCACCATCTCTGGAGGGATTTAGAAGGTGTGTAGGTGTGGCACCTGGGGACACGGTTTAATGTTGGCCTTGGCAGTGCTGAGTTAATGCTTGGGCTTAATAGAGGGCTTTTCCAACCTGAATGATTCTATTATTCTATAATTCTATGGTTGTGTGACCAACCACCGTGTACCCTATCGGATGTCCCAGCGTTTATGGGGACAGGCAGGAGCACACGTCATGGTGGGAAGAAGGGAAGGAGCCCAGGCCTGACAAGCATCACAGGACAGACTCTGGGAAGACCACGTACTCAAAAAGCAGGTGAACGCACAGTGCTTACCCTCCATCCTCAGGCACATCCCCTTCCCTGCCCGGGTGTCTCCAGGCTGCTGGAGGGATGGTGTTTCTCATGGTGGACCCCCAGCACGACCCGTGGCTCCTACTCAGAGGCCCTGGGGTCCCTTGGGGCAGAAAGGGGCTGGATGTGCCTGACCCTGGAGGGCATGAGGACCAGAGACACTTGTGGGACCCACATCAACACCCCCAGAGCCAGGCAGGGGCCTGGCTACATCCAGGTGGAATGGTGGATCACAACAGGAGGCTTGAGGACATTCCAGCCAGGGCGGACAAGGCTGTGACACCCACGGGACATCCCCTGGCAAGGTGCTGCCCTCAGCCCCCAGCCTGGTGTGGGGCTGGTGCAGTGGGGGCAGGGCAGGGTAGCTGGGCCCCCCGGGGGCCTCCTTAGGGCTGGGCCCCCCAAAGCAGCCGGGGCCCCCGAGGCAGAGCCACAGCCGCTCCCTGGGGCTGGCCGTCCCCCCGCCCCTCGGTGTGATAAGATAAGGCCGGGCAGAGGTGCTGGCGGCTATAAGAGGCCGTCCCCATGGGTGCTGCTTCCACCAACCCCTGCCTACCCCACCAACCGCCGCCATGCTGACCGCCGAGGACAAGAAGCTGGTCCAGCAGGTCTGGGAGAAGGTGTCCGGCCACCAGGAGGATGTTGGAGCCGAGGCCCTGGAGAGGTGCGGGCTTGGGGACCCCGTGGGCAAGGGGGACGAGCGGGTGGGAGCCCCACGGAGGGGCTGATGCGGTGGGGTCCGGCTGGGTGAGCACCACTGACTGTCCCGCTCCCCCAGGATGTTTGCCGCCTACCCCACGACCAAGACCTACTTCCCCCACTTCGACCTGCACCACGGCTCTGACCAGATCCGTGGCCACGGCAAGAAGGTGGTGGCTGCCCTGGGCAACGCCGTCAAGAACATGGACAACCTGAGCCAGGCTCTGTCTGAGCTCAGCAACCTGCACGCCTACAACCTGCGTGTGGACCCCGTCAACTTCAAGGCAGGCGGGGGGAAAGGGGACAGGGGAGGGGGGACAGGGATGGAGGATGGGGATTAGGATGGGGGACAGGGGAGAGGGATGGGGGACAGGGGTAGAGGGTGGAGGAGAGGAGGTGGGGATGTGGATCGGGATGGAGGATGGGGACAGGGAACAGGGGAGGAGGGACAGTGGACACGGATCAGGATGGGGGTCAGGGGCCGAGGGACAGGGATGGGAAGGGGCCATGGGGCCCTTAGCAGCTGTGCTAAGCCCCGTTTTCCCTCGCAGCTGCTGTCGCAGTGCCTCCAGGTGGTGCTGGCCGTGCACCTGGGGAAGGACTACACCCCCGAGATCCACTCTGCCGTCGACAAGTTCATGTCGGCCGTGGCCTCCGTGCTGGCTGAGAAGTACAGATGAGCTGCCACCTGTGCCCATGTGCCGTCAATAAAGACCCTTTTGCCACAGCACCGAGTCCGTCCGTGCCGGGGCCGAGGGCTGGGGTGGGCTGGAGGGCGGCAGTGCTCCTGCCGGGGGGAGGGGGCTGCCAGTGAGACCAGATGTGGTACAGGAAGGGCAGCACCGGCCGTGGGCTCCCTGGGTGTCCCCGGGGTCCTACCTGCTCCCACCCCTCCCCAGCATGGGATGCAGCCGGTAGCAGCGCCCCTGGAATGCAGCTCAGCCCGGCACTGGCTGTGCCTGCACCCCTTCAGGGAGCACGGGAAAGGCTGTGCCAGGACAAATTTGTTCCTTGCGTCCCTTTGAAGGATTCTCTGGGGGTGGGGAGGGGGAGAGGGGGAAGGATAGATCTTGCCGATCTCCACCTATCAAGATGGCTGTTTGGGACTTTATTAGGGATGCTGTGGGAGCTAAGTTGCTTACATGAGCTCCAAAAGCAATCAGAGAATTCATGGGAGTGAAAAAAAACCCACCACAGACCATTAAGCACAAAGACTGTTCTTGGACTCAAGCCCCTGAGCTACAAATCCCAGGGAAGAGCCCCTGCCCCTGTCCCAGGTGGTTGCACTTCCCCTGGGACATGGGCAGGCGTGGAGTGGGGTGGGCAGAGCTGCAGACCAGCACAGGGACACTGGTTTCAAGGCTTTGGAGCCTGAATTTAAAAAAATCCTTGATCACAGTTGATGGGCTGTGAGATACTAAACCAGCCCTGGGTTTGCTCTGTGCTGTGGCACCAGAAGGACGAGGTGAGCTCCTGCAGGAGATGGGTACCTGGGGTGTTCAAGTGCAGAAAGCAGGTATGGGGAATGCAGGGACCCTGCCTGCACACAAACGGCTGACAGTCCCTGGCCATGCTGGCCACTGCTCCTGCAGGTGAACCCACAGCTCTTACCCTCCATCCTCAGACACATCCCAGTCTACATCCCAGTGTGCTCATGTGCATTTACACCCATTTATTCTTGTGCCACCAGTCAGAAGTGTTCTGCTGCCTTGGCAGCTTCCCCCCGACACACACAGGCTGCCCCACCGCTGTTTCCCAGAAGATCAGCCCCTCCCGTCCCTCCCCCATCCATCCCCACTCCCTCCCCACTCTGAAGTGGTGCCAGACCGTGCTAATCTCCCCCAAACACAAACGATAAGAACCGTGGGCAGTGGGGGAAACACGGGTGTGAACTGTCTCCTACTGGTCTGTGCCAGCTCCCGAACCTCTTGGAAGCTCCACAGGCCCCCTCACCCTCCTCGTCTTCCTCACCACCCTCATCTACCTTGCCCTTGTTACCCTCCTCGCCTTCATCATTTGGGGCACACGGGGCTGGCCATAAACCACCGTGGCCTAGAGCGTCTTCTTCCCACAGAACTTGAAGCAGTGCTGATCCCCGTGGGCTCTGCCAGGTGTCCCCCCTCCCCAGGAGTCCCCCGGTCCCCACAGCACGGGCATCAGCACAGGCTGCGTGCAGGAGACAGGGCTGGGGCAGGGGAGCTCGGGGGTCTGTGTGCAGAGGGGTGGGACTGTGGTTCGAGGAGCAGGGGCTGAAGAGGGCACACGCTGAGGGGTGCAGGGGTTCAGGGTGCACTGAGGGAACGAAAGCAGGGGGTGCAGCAGGACAGCTGCGTTCTCAGAGGCTGTGTTGGATGGCGGGGGGTGTACAGGGACGGCACAGGTGAGTGCAAGGGTGTGCAGGGGCCGCGTCAGACGGCAGAGTGTGTAAGGGCAGTGCCTGTGCCGGGGCAGCTCACGCGTGTGTGGAAGCTCTGCTGGATGGCTCAGTCTGTACCTGCAGGGGCCCACGGGGCCGCGAGAGGCGGGCGGGGGTGTTGGGCTCAGTCTGTGGGGCACAGACTCCCCCACGCTCCTGTCCCCACCAGCTGGCCGGAACTCATCCAGGCTGTGCCCGGGGATCCTCAGCCCGTGCCCCACTCCGTGCTGGCAGGGGACACACGCGGGCTCCTCCGCCGGTGCCAGTGCAGACCCTGAGCTCGACCCAAACCAGCCCGAACACTACACCTAAACCTAAATCTCATCCTAACCCTGAGCCTACCCCTCCTGTCAGCTTGTGCCAGAGAGGCAAACACCCACCTGCGCTGAAACAAGCCCTGACCCTCCCCCTGTCCCTTGTTTGGGGTGCCGGGGCACAGCCCCCCCGCCGGGAACGGGGCCGGGGCGGAGCGGGTCGGGGGGGCCGGGGAGCAGCCGCTCCTGGCCAGGGTCCAGCGCCCCGGGACGGGGCCGGAGCGGGGCGGGACGGGGGGGGGCGGGCGGGGCCCCAGCACCGCATATAAGGGCGGCGGCCGCCAGCGGGGACACCCGTGCTGGGGGCTGCCAGGGCGAAGGTGACATCATGGTGCTGTCCGCTGCTGACAAGACCAACGTCAAGGGCGTCTTCGCCAAAATCGGCGGCCAGGCCGAAGAGTATGGCGCCGAGACCCTGGAGAGGTACGTGTCTGTCTCCGGCGGGACCCTCTCTCCTCTCATCTCCATCCCCGAGTCCCTCCCATCTGCCCCCATTCTCTCCCCATCCACAGCTGTCTCTGTCCTGTGTCTCTATCCCTGTCTCATCTGTCCCTGAACACGTCTGTTCCCCAGGATGTTCGCCTCCTACCCCCAGACCAAGACCTACTTCCCCCACTTCGACCTGGCAAAGGGCTCTGCCCAGGTCAAGGGACATGGCAAGAAGGTGGCGGCTGCCCTGGTCGAAGCTGCCAACCACATCGATGACATCGCTGGTGCCCTCTCCAAGCTCAGTGACCTCCACGCCCAAAAACTGCGCGTGGACCCCGTCAACTTCAAAGTGAGCGTCTGGGAAGGGGCGACCAGCCCTGCTCCCTTCCTGCACCCCTTGGCCACCCCCTCGCCTCACCCCCCTGCTCACCATCTCCTTTTTTACCTTTCAGCTGCTGGGCCAGTGCTTCCTGGTGGTGGTGGCCAGCCACAACCCCTCTCTCCTGACCCCGGAGGTCCACGCTTCCCTGGACAAGTTCCTGTGCGCTGTGGGAACCGTCCTGACTGCCAAGTACCGTTAAGACGTGTACCGTGGCTGGAGCTGGACCCGAGGGGCACCACCAGCCCTCCAACAGCGAGCAGTCAAATGTTCTGAAATAAAATCTCTTGCATTTGTGCTCCAGCTCTGGTGTCCTGCTCTGTTTGCTGCCTGCGGGGAGGGAGCAGAAGGGATCTGCCTCGGGGGTCTGAACTGGGGGTCCCCCCCACCAGGTGGGCACATGGAGGAAATGGGCACTGGTTTAGCAGTGGTTGGGGGGGGGGGGGGTGTCACCCAACAGGCAGACACTGCTCTGCCAGCCATGAGGCTCCGAGAGCAAGCAGAGCATTTCCATGACCAGTGGTGGGGAAAGACTCACAGAGGATCGGGGGTTTCCTGCAGCCCCAGCCTGTCCAGGCTGTCCCAGAAGAGCTCTGCGCTGGGATCCCCTCTTGCACCACCAGCCCCGTGCACCCCTTGTTCAGGAAGAGTTATTGCAGAGCATCTCCTTCTGGAAATGCTCGTGGGAGACGGTGGGTTCAGGGGGCCCCTGCACCTCTGCCCCTCTGTGTGGTGGCACAGTGAGGGCACCCCAGGGGCTCCCAGCACCAGGACATCTCTCTGTGCACCCCCAGCACACAGAGCTGTGCAGTGGTGTAGGACTTCTTCTGTCTCCACCTAATGCTGCATTAATAGGGTATCGCTTTGGGGGGGTCCTGGGGAACTGCAAGGGGAGCAGATGGGGCTCAGCTCCAGATCCAGCAGTGTGGGGGGTGTCAGGGCAGGGAAAGGAGCCCAGGCAGTAGAGGGGTGTGGGGTGCTGTGGTGCTGGTGTCTGCACAGCCTCCAGCCCTTATCACAGCCCACAGCAGGGCAGCCGTGGGGGGCTGATAAAGGAGAACATGGGCTCTCCTCCAGCTGTGGGTGTGGTGGGAGATGGGGCAGCAGATAGTCCTGGGGGGCTACAACCTGCCAGGTGCTGAGTAAGGCTGCCCATGTCACTATCAAGATGCTTGTTGAAGCAGGGGAAGGTTCAAGAAAGCCCCAGGGTTCACAGGTTCATGTTGCCATGGTCCCCTTTGATCCCTGCCACTTGTAAGGATGGACACTTGCCCCGGCCCCATAGCCTGCAGTCACTGTCAGTAAATGCACAGAGAAAGGAGAGACTCCAAGGACTCCAAAGAGAGAGAGAGAGAGGCCCTCCAGCCCCTGGACCTTCTCCCACAGAGCACCACAGACATCGCAACTCCACATGCTGACCACCCCTGGGCACGGTGAGGAAGGAGGAGAGAGCTGGTCAGGGCATCACTGGCCAACCTGATCCACCTTTGCGTGGCACAGGTGTTGGAGCAGGTTCCACCCTTCCAGCCAACATTACCCAGACAGAGCTGTGGGCACAGCTGTGCTCCACAGAGAGGATCCCCCTCCCTGGGGATCCTGGAGCGAGCGGGGCGTGGTGGGGGCTCAGGGCACGCGGGTGTGCGAGGCACTGTGGGTGGGTGTGTAAAGCACTGGGAAGAGCCAGCACCGAATCCAGCTCAGACCTGGGCTCCTCCAAACCCTCACGGTCCCGAGCGTGGTGGGTGCAAGAGGCAAGGTGTAAGAGCAGCGTGGGGGTGGTATGTACGTGGAGGGTGGCACTTTGTCCCCAGCTTGTGGTTTCACTTCCAGATGCTCCCAAGCTGTGCTGTGCCCTCGTGGGGTGTGCAGCACACGTGGGGTGGCAGTGGGCATTTCCCCGGCTCTACAGCACTTTCCCAGGGTTCTGTTTTCGGCCAAAGAACCGCTGAGCTCGTGTCGTCCCAGCCATTTGTCCCTGCTGCCACCAGATGGGGACCTCAAGCCGTGGTGCTTTATCGGG